GAACCAGCTGTGTGTCATCGCAGTGTGTGCAGAGATAAGGAGATCCCTGCCTGTCCGGGTGCTAGCCAAACACCATTCATCTGCACACACTGCGATGCCACACAGCTGGTTGAATATCAGCAAAGTTTCCCTTTATATTCATTGTTTTGTGTGGTGATCAGCAGTGATGTGGTGGTTCACTTTTACACTGTGATCTGTAGCCTATAGTTCGGCTTTAGCTTCTAACTGTCTTTGTCTTTTTAACCTGTTGTTGCTGCTGAGTCAGTTTGACATCCTGGATATATCCTTCAAACATAGACTGTAGACCCATCTGTCTGCTTCACTCTGGAATCACTCTTTCATTTGTCCAAAAATATGATAATATTTCTTCAGGGAGTGCAGTTTGTTACAGTGTGGGCTCCATGCTTACTGCAACAGCTTGTTGGACAAAGGGACTTTAGCGAAAGGTCAGTTGACAAAATATTTCAGTCACATGCCCTAAAATTTTTAACATATTCCATTAGTTTACTCAAACTAAGTGCCATACTTTAAATACTTTGGATTCCTTCTGGAACACTTCAAACTCATCCTTGCTGAGCTCATTTGTCTGGGTCTTATATTTTCAAGCCAAAAACACTCCACAGTGTCCTGGCTGTGCATCTCCTCTGACATTGTTGTGTAGCAGCTGCACTGCACACATTTTTGAAAAATCTGTTGATAGGAAATGCCTCATACGAATTTTACACCGTGTCCTAACAACAAGCGAGCATCAGTCTGTGTTCACACTGAATCTGTTAAATCTGCAATTCAGTTACGTCATGGAAACAAACGACATAAATATCAGCTGTGCGCTTGACTGGAGACATAACCACATAAAAAATAGGCGAGTACTTTTGATCTTCCTATAATTGGACTTTTTAAACAGAAAACACATGTTTTATATTGTGATAATTACTGGAAATAACATACAATATTGCCAACAGTAAGTAGGCTGTTATTAGCGATGGTCAGTTACCAGAAACTTTCAGTTCCCTGGAGATCTCGCTCCCACCAGCTGCGGCCTTATTTAGGTTTTTGTAGTTAAATGAAAAAAGTGTTTAGATAAGTCCTCATTTCAACTTCATGATTCAGCTGTTCCTCGTCCACTGCAGAGATTTCAAAGCGAGCGACAGGAATAAATAAAAACAGGGTGTCCAACTAAAGTTCAGCTCAAAATGGCAGCGCTGCGTCACTCATGGACAGTTGGAACATTCTAACAGAAAACATTGCAATCCAATGAATGCTTGCTCGAGATGCATTAAGTCAGGACACAGTGTTAGAGCAAATAAAACTTAACAAGTAATCTCTTTTCGTACTCTATTTTTAAAGACAGTACCCATATGTTGAATACCACCACTTTAAACTGCAAATTTATCGCAATACAGTTACTCATGTTTTGTACATGTATTCTGTTAATCCCCAACCCTGGTGGTGGACTGACGGACCAACCAACAGCCCAACGTTGCCCTTCGTCAAGCCACACTGCTAACATGGATAGAAATTGTGGATTTGCTTTAGGAAGTGTTCAACATAATGTCAAGTATCTACAACAAATGCAGTCTCAGAATCCATCGGCTATCGCTCTGATAACGATAAACCTCTGGGGACAATGACCAGTACTTAAGGAGATCCAGTGTATCTGGGCCAAGATGTCCTCCTCCATGTGCCAGTCATTTCAGCTAATCCCTACAAACAGATATTTGTATATAAATGTAGATTAATTTTAAAAAAAATAAGATCTAATCATGTGTAGGATTAGAAAATACAGATTCAGTTACATTGAGGGAAAGTGACCAATGGCCCAATTGGACTCTTGTTCCTGTGTGAGGAGAGAGTGACACCAAGTGGCCATTGTGAGTACTACAATAAAAAAGCAATTCAAATACCAGTCTAAGTTACAGTAAATGGTATTTCAGTATTTTTATAACTCAGGGGAGCCTTGTAAAATGTTTACCAGTTTCTTTGATGAGCTAAGTTTAATTAAATTTTAAAATTACACTTCAAAACAACACAAGATGTAAAGAAGGGAATACTAATAGCAAATTACACTCTCTCTCTCTGACAGTGGTGAAGGAAGTATTCAGATCCTTTACTTAAGTAAAAGTACTAATGCCACACGGTAAACATATTCTGTCCTGCAATGAAAATGTGACTTAAGTACAAGTGAGTAAAATCAGGAATGTGTATTTTAAGTATTAAAAATACCCATCCATCTATCCACTTTCAACCGTTTATCCAAAGCCAGGTCGCAGGGGCAGCAGGCTGAGTAGAGAATTCCAGACGCCCTCTCCCCAGCAACACTTTCCAGCTCTTCCTGGGGGACCCCAAGGTGTTCCCAGGCCAGATGAGATATGTAATCCTTCCAGTGTATTCTGGGTCTGCCGCGGGGCCCCCTACCAGTGGGACGTGCCTGGAATACCTCAAAAGGGAGGCACCCCAGGAAGCATCCTGATCAGATGCCTGAACCACTTTAACGGACCCCTTTCGATGCGAAGGAGCAGCAGCTCTACTCCGAGCTTCCTCCAGTTGTCCGAGCTCCTCACCCTATCTCTAAGGCTGAGCCCAGCCACCCCACAGAGGAAACTCATTTCGGCTGCTTGTATCTGCGACCTCATTCTTGCAGTCATTACCCAGAGCTCATGACCATAGGTGAAGGTTGACACATAGATGGACCAGTAAATCGAAAGCTTTGCCTTCTGGCTCAGCTCTCTCTTCACCATGACAGTCCGGCACAGTGTCCGCATCACAGCAGATAATGCACCAAATCACTGATCCATCTAAAAGTACTTAATCCAGAAAAAAATCTAAAAGAAAAAAAAAAAAAAAAAAAAAAAACCCAAACAAAATCACCCAAAAACCTCAAAATAATTCTGAAAAATTCACTTAAATATCTAAGAAAAATGGTTGCCAATTACTGTTCTGTCAACCGGCTAACTGATTAATCAACTAATTGTTCCAGCTGTGCTTGTATAAACTGTTGGGTAGTTCAATGTATGACATAACATCACAGTAACTTTGCAATAAAATCCACAGCACGTGAATAAACACAACATACAGTTATAATCTTGGTGTCATGTTCTTTAATCTTCAATGGTTATCACACAGACCGACAAGTTTCAACATAAAAAGTATTCCAGTTCTTCACAGTATTGCATTTTGCACAGTGTTATACAGACAACAGAGTTTCTCAGTGAAGGCACAAAACTAGAGATTACTTCTGCAAACGAAATCCCTACAGACAAACATGATGAACTCAAGGATATCAAACTTGGCGCGGAAACAGTTTTTACACAACATAAAACTAACTTTAATCTCTACCGACTCACGGCAAGAAAGGTAGTAGTGTCATAATCAAACTAACAATAACTGCAGTTATAATACTTGTTGGGTTATGTTTTCACCTGCTTCTCAAGCTTCTTTCTTTCTCTCCCCGTTCCAGAGCACATTTTCCTCAAAACATTTCAAAACACAGAAGTAATAAAATTTATATTCCAGACTTTTCCAAACCTGATTGTCCAGTTTACAACACTCCCTTCGTATGAAATCAGCTCCAAGCTAAGTGCTCTTGGTCGGTTTAGTGCAACTCTCCTTCAAATACTGTACCATTAAAATAGACCTCGCTCTGCTACAAAAGTACACATAGTAGTACAAGATAACAGTATAAGATAAGTACTTTGCTTTTTTTGGTACATATGAAGCATGCTTTCACAGTAACACAATAGCTACATATGTAGTTGTTGTAGTAGTAGTAGTAGTAGTGGTGGTAGTAGTAGTAGTAATAGTAGGGCTGCCTCATGCATCTTCCACCACCTTTGCAATGACTGAGCACCATAAACACACAACAGGAAGCAGTACAAACCTGAAGCACTGCACACACTCCTACACACACACGTCTGTCAAGAGTAATGCTGCTGTTTGCATAAAAACCCAAAATCCAGTTTCAGTGATTGTACAAGGTTTTATCAGAGATGCTGTGATCAGCGGATGAAGTGACAGACTGACGATGGACCTCACAGAGTAGAAGTACATGCACCTCAGTCACAAGTTACAGTCGCTGTTCTCTTACAGTACATGTCGTGTAAACCAGAACCCTGGTGGGTCCGAGATTAGTTTCACAGGAAGATTTCTCCTGGAGAACACAAGGGTTGGGTATTTTTTTTTAAATTGCAATACCAGTACCAACACTAGTACCAGTAAAGAGATACCAATACCTATAATGTGAATGGAGTGGCGTAATGTAAAGCCATACTTTTAAATGTTTTGGGGTATACGTGGTATACCCACTTCTTTTTCTATCCAGTTACAGTATACCCACCTATCAGCTAAACAGCCATTGTAATATAGAGGAGAGTATGCCCACTTCCTCATCGGTAACCTACCTATCTAAAGGGTATCTCCAGTTCTACAGGGAGACCCATGGTGTGTTTGAAGGTCTCTCTAGAGAGTGCGATCCATGATGCCGTCACCTAACTACACCGAGAACACTAAGACAAACACTGTGACTGTCATGGACGTGGCATATGCTCTGAAAAAGCAGGGACTCACTCTGCGTGGCTTCAGTGGTTAAATAGATCCATCCACAATTAAATCTGGTTAACATAATGTAAGTTTATACTAAAGTTGTCTTGGCAACACATCTTACAGGTCACACAATATCTGGCTATGTATTCATTTATTTGGCAAATTTCCCACCAGACGTTTTGGCTGTTGATACTTTAATTTGTCAGACAGCTACATGTGGTACTGGCGAAAGGCTGGCATATACCGGCCAACGTAAACCCTGCCTTAAAGGTATCAAGTACTGATACCCAGCCCTAGAGAACACTGATTTCTCCATCATGTGTACAGTTAACTGGGTTTCTAAACTGGCTTTTCACATGTACACGTGGTGCATGACAAAAGTAACAGCAGAGCAGGTAGATGAAAGAAGAGATCATCACACAGAGCGATGCTTTCACTCTGTGAGCAAACAAAAAAACCTCTTTCACATGAAACTGGGTTTTTAATCAACAGCAGCAGTCATACTCAGTGCCTAAATTCATAAAGTGCTAAAGGACTCAGAAGTCTGATCAGATGATGGACCTCTGGAATACTCAGTGGACAATTTGTCCAAATGTCTCAGAATCAGCTTTTTATGTGGTAAAGAAGCAGTGGAGAGTAAACCTGACAAAACTCAAGTTTACCCTCAGTGTTTTAGGGCCCATGAAGCCATTAAAAAACTGATGGCTAATGCTTTTTAGCCCGTTCAACAGTAACATTCAGGATATAGTATTAGATATTACTGAAACTGTAGTGTATCAGTCTGACTTGGTTTGTTGGACAGATGAAAAAAATTACAGTACACTATTTGGCTTGAAAAAATGGAAACTTGCAATAAATTTGGAATAAATAATAACTGACACAACTTCTAGTCAGGTGTACAAAAAGGGTGCATGCAAACTATATCTACTAAAATCCACTAAGAGAACTTTTCATGACCTTATTGACCGACATTTGCCGAAATGTAAATAACATTAAAAAAAAGAAGAAGACAGAAACAAGAAGAAGCGAACTCTTGAAGGTCTTAAATTCACATAACAGATAAGACTTGGAAAAAAAAGAAAGACATGATTTGTTTGTGATCCACATAAATGTTCTGCCAAGTTAAAGTACTGTAGGACTACTACTTCCACTTGACGACACATAATAGCTTTGTATACAAAATATCTATTAACACTGTCAACAAAACCTAAACCAACGACAGCAAAGATACATTTTACACCGAATACCGTCTTTTACATTTACATTCTTATCATTGGATGAGTGCAAAAGATGACGTGTAAACAGATCGTCGAGAATGATGCAGAGAAAGGAATGATCCTATCAAACAAGAGTTTTGTTTACTGCAAGTGTACTGTATGCATTCACGGCACTGTAAGTCACTTTGGATGAAAGCATTCATTTGTGATCGGAGAATCTCCACCCGTTTCTGTGTGAATGAGTGCGAGTTTAAGCCTGAACGGTGAGACAAAAGTCAGGTCTTAAAACACGGCATCTCTTCAGTGTGAGCTATACGTTAACTCAAGAGTACATTCGTTATATGTGTGGCGTCCTCCAGACCTGGGACAAACTGTACCTGCATGTATACGGCTCGTTTTATCCGGTGAGTTCCTCAAAGACTGAAACTGACTAGCTCCACCAAAAGTGACATTTATTTACAGGCTCTACTTTGTTTAGGAAAAGAATAATGTTATTGTTCTGTATCTTTTTATTGTCAACAAATCCCATAAAAAGACCAAAACCAACAATGAGTCCAAGAAAAATTTCCCTACAGGGACAATAAAGTATATTGTATCGTATTGTATCATATCATACCGCATCGTATTATATCGTACCGTATCGTATCATATTGTATCCTTGAAAGGTCAGCGTTGTGATATTTGCACATGTCCAAAATCCTGTTGATATCCGAGTCTTTCCTACTCTTTACATCTAGGCATGTTTCTTTTTCTGATGAGAAATGTGGGCTTTTCTTTTGGGCATGCATCTCCACCTCAGCCTTGCAAACTAATGGCGAGTTGGTTTGTGCACAACATAACCATGACAACACACAGAGCTGACCGTAAACAGACAAGAAGCCGCCTGTCGCAAACTGAGACACATATTCCGAATGTGCTGTATACAAGTCTTACGAATGCTCCTAAAATCCGAATAATACCGGCATATTCTGAATGTCTTACTTGGAAAATGCTCCATTCGGAAAAAGGCCTGATTCAGAATATCAAACAGACTATGCTGTTAACATGACTCATAGAAAAATCTGAATATTATATTATATATTCTGCATGTAAATGTACCCAGTGTGGCTAACTGATGTGTTTTCAACAGTTTTTGCAAAAGGATGGAGCTCTGTGTTTACAGAGGAAGAAGATATATCAGGTTTTGATGGGATTAACAATAAGATTTGTTGACAATAAGAAAACCTGATGTTGATCAGATAGCTTTGCGGTTATTTGCACCTTTGATGGAGCAAGGCTAGCAGTTTCTCCCTGCTGTCCAGCCTTTGTGCTAAGCTAGGCTAACACATAGTGAACACACAGAGATGAAACTAATAACCAACCACTCATCTGACTCTGGCGAATGGAAAACCTTCCCGAGCAGGTTTCCTTTAAACAAAGGTGGAACATTTTACAGAACAAGATAACAGATTGGTGGTGATCGGCTACATGGGACCACGACTGTCAGAAAAAAATAAATATCACATTAAAGTATTTCCAAGTCAACATATCTACGTTTTCTCTCTATGTACAATATTAGACAGGTTAGACTGTATTGGTCCTAATGTAGTGAATCCGATCCATCTGCCATCTGAAGCCTCTTCAAAACAAAAGCCAAAAATATGCAGAGTTCATTTGACCCAGGTCTGGTGTCATCAGACTCCTGTCTGTGCTTCGCAAACCAAAGCAGAGCTGCGAGGAAGTTACAAAATGATGCTCCTGTGAAGTTTAGATTATTAGTTACCAGTATATATACAGCTAACGGGTTTTTAAAATCCACCAAAGATGAATAGGTACAGCTTTGTTGTGCGCATCAATTATAACCAAACTTATTTTTAAACTGTCTCATTTACCAGATAATGAATTTCAGATGTGAACAGAAGCACCAGAACACAGCCATGGCCTCCCCCTTGAATCAAAATAAGATATATTGCTGCATTTGAGTTACAATAAGTCTCCAGAGAGATTCTAGAGGCTACAGTAGCGTCTGCCTGACCCTCTCAGAGGACGCTGTTGGTGGAGGAAGACTGAAAAAGTTCCAAATCATACAATATTTCAATCAACCGACTATTATACAGATTTTAAAGTGTTGCTAATAAAGTGTAGGTTTAATTTTGGCACACTGACTCCATCTAAGAATCCCTTTATTTCTCTGACTCCAGAGGGAGTCTTGATGCTGGTGGTGCAGATGGTTCAGCTTCAGTGTCGCTATCAAGCTTTTCAGTTCTGGCACAGTTTACAGTGATTAAAAAGAAGAGATTTACCATTCAATAATTCTATTAATTTTTGAATCAATGGGTCCTTAATTTCAGACAGAGGCAGACAAAAGCAGGCTCTTCTTTTAGAACCAATGACGGGTGAATTTGCCGACTTAAATGAAAGCTTTTGCTGGCAGATTTGATCAGACATAGCTTCCATGCTAATTATGCTAACATTTGCTACATGAGCTGGTTGAAAATACCGGCACATAGACGTTCTGGCAGAAATCTGTTCAATTTAACCCAAAACCACTCTTTTGTTCCTAACCTCTATCAAGAAATCCCTTGTTAACAGAGAAAACCCTCGAGGCAAACTTCTCCCAACAGCAAAACACTTAACCCCAGCTAACTTTTTAATGTTTTGAACTGACTTATTTTAAAATGAGAATCTTGTAAAAGGATTCTTAAATATGCAATTCATGGCTGAATAAGTAATTATATCATGCCAACAGACTGAGGGCCCCAGATAGAAAGTCATTATCCCCAACAGTTAAAAGAAGCAGAAATAAAAGAATAAGGATCCATCTTGTAGCAACATAGAGCTGGTTAGTCCTAGTATTGTAGGTACGATTGAAAACAGTAAGTTCGTACTGATTTGTTAGCTTACATACTTGGGATGTAACTACCCCAAAATTCAACGTTAGCTTAAACTCTAATAGCATCCAGGGCCAGCTCCTAACAGTGGAGAAACACTACACAATGGATGTTTTTAAATGTAACCTGTAACAACACAAACCAAATTAGCTGAAATGCTCGTTGGCCTTGGAAGTAAATGGAGGTTATCACCATCACCATTAAATACACTTTCTGACAAATTTAATTACTATCTCCTCGCAAATCTTATAATAATCACACAGTTGATATAATTTGGTTTAGCAGCATGTTTAAAGTGATCATTTTAGGACATTTCATACAAGTGAAACTATGATAATATATTATCTGCTGTTCAGTGGGGGGGTTTAGTTTAAACTACGTAAACTACCGAGATGATCACAGGCATTCGTCGCTGCCGTTTGGCCTCAAAAGCACAGACAGAGATAAGATAACTGGACTGATGGGCAGTTTTTTAGGGGGGGGGACCAGGCCAAGATGTAAAGGTTCAACCAGAGGAGAGGACGTATCATCGACGTCACTGGGAACTATTCATCCTCAATCCACCTTCCTCAAAATTCATGTTTCCACGATCAACTGTAACTAAATCTGAAATCAGTCAATGAATACAAAAGCACATTTCCACCTGAATTTTCTCTAAAACACAGAAGAGGATTCAGAACGTATCACTAAAAGACTGAGATTAATCATACTGTAGTAAATATTGTGATTTGTGCTGACAGATGAGACAAAAGATGAAAAGCTGTTCATTTATATGTTTGAATACTGAAAGTTTACCCACACTTACATCCCGCTGAAAAAGCACCCAGTGTAACACCTCACCGTCGTCTATTTCAGTATAGTAATCTATGGAAAAGTAGAAAATATGCAACAACACGGTGCTGGCAATAGAAAATATTCACAATATGCACTTGAAAACAGTGTGATGCCGATGTGGTCATGCAGTAATATCTATTATTGCATTATGTTTTTTAAACCCTGTAACGCAGCGTAGTAACTGTGATGTGTGTGTTGTGTTTATCTCTCATTAGTGATCAGACCATCTGAAGCCAAGTGACATTTACAAAAGAGTTCTTGATTTATAATTTAGTGTAATCTTTTCTCTAATTTTAAATTGGTGTCTTAGTTTGATTTATATATTAAAAAAACTGAATTAAAATTGCACTTTTCAGGAGGAGGAGCAATTGAATTCAACCATGCTATACAAAAATGTAATATATGCAAACATTTTTTGCATAATACTAAAATAAAGTGTCCATCAGATGACATTTGGAGGGAATAATACATATTACACTCCCATTTTGACTTAAAATGAGTCAATTATTTCAATTCTTTTACCAATAACTGATAACGTTTCCCTATTTTTGAACATCCTGTACAATATATGCAGTAAAGTTATTAAAATTTTGTCTAAATTTGCATTTCTATGTCAAAATAAGATTTCAAAAACTGAAGTTTATTAAGCATAATGGACCATCTGCACCCTTTTAGCTGAATAAGAGCATCAGTCCACATGTACAGAAGTATATTGTTTTAAATGAAGAGTTATAGTGGAGGAGTCACCTCAGATTAACTGCTCCAGAGAAGTTTAATGTAAGTTTGACCATACTGTACTTTTCCATAGGTTAACACACTGGAATAAAGTTAAATAGAGTTCTCCCCTCTGACACCCCCTCTCCCCCGGTGTTTCTCTACAGTTCTATGCTTCGTACCCAGCGGACCGGCGGCGCTGGTGGTTCCAGATGTCGTCTCTGTGTTCGGGTCGGCAGAAGAGCCTGGACGACTGGGCCAGCCGCTCCCGGTGCTCCCGCTCCCGGTCTCGTTCCCCACCGCCCTGTTTGGAGAACAGAGGACGGCCGCCGAACTGCGAGGAGGAATGGGATCTGTTGTCATGGAGACCAGACGAGGACAGCTGACCTCCTGCTGACCTGGAGATGTCACATGAATAGGAATAAATGAACACAGGGGTTGGGAAGGAGGTTGGAGTGAATGTAAATGTCTGTCCAGCAGCTGAGGTTGGGGCACTAGCCAAACACGGTTCATCTGCACACACTGTGATGCCACACAGCTGGTTGAATATCAGCAAAGTTTTCCATTATATTCATTGCCTCAAGCAACAGAAAATCAAGTGGAAAAGGTGATACTTATCTTGTATTTAAACTCATCCCTCCATTCAGAACTATTTTTGTCTCTAAATAAAATCCAAAGTTCAGTTTCAAGATGAAGAAGTTTGGGAGCTGAAACAAAATCAGGGACTGTGTCTTTAAATCCTGCAATGAGCGAAAGTGCCACTTAGATCTAATGGAAGTCAAAGAAAAGGCAGATGTCCATGATGCACAGGTGACTTATGTCAACTCACAAACACTCTCATTCCACACACAGACAGACAGGTAAAGTGTCACATGTTTCGCAGTGACTAAAAAAACACAAAAATCTGACAGACGACACAAGAGTCCTCATGAATGATTCAGCAGCCACTCTGTCACCATTTGGCTTTGATTCAAGAGGAGCAGCAGTTTACCTGCACTGTTAGAGGAAGACTCCTGCTGAGCAAAAAGAGTTACTACAGCTCTGTGTGACAGCTACTTAGTTTGCTTGTCATTCAGCAGGTCACCTTAAAAACTGGAGTTAAGAATAAAAATCCAGGAGAGAAAGGTCTTGTCTGAAGGACCTAACAGTGAAAGACAAATCTAAAACCAACCAGCTAAAGAACACAAATAGGTTTCAAACCCTAAATTTTTTGTACACAGTTGGACAATATTATGTGGAGGTACTCACCTGCTTTTAGTGATTCTGTGAGGCCCATTATCAGTTTGCTGCTGGTACTGACGAGGACACAGAGAAGGTCAAAGGTCACCCACCACAAACCAAACACAAGAAAACAATAGCTCTTAAATTCAGGATCAATTCAGAGTTCTCAGGTCAGTGTGTGTTTGTGTTCATGACAAAAGAACTCATTTTAATGTTGTAACCTGTTGAGGTAGAGCCATTTCTCACTGCTTATTATACTGTTTGGTAGTCAATAAAAATGAGTCACATTTTACGAAGTAATCATATATTTTGTATGGAAAATCATGAAGCCCTTGGACACAAAAGTGTTTTCATTTATGTTGCTTTATTAAATCTCTTCTCAGGGCCGTGTGGGCAAAAGCAAACTGCACTTGAGTGACATGTTCCTCATCTTTCTGCTGGTTTTGTTGGACCTATTAGGACGGGATAACTCAACCTGTTCCCAGCAGAGCTCAACCAAGCTTATGCCTGACTAGAGGTGTAATCAGGTGGGGTCACTGAAAACACCAGCGTGGGTGTACTTTGCAAAGCAAGTACAGCTGCCAAATGTAGAAGGTTAAAGGTGCTTTATCTCCCTCTGAAAAGTAGAAAGATAAAGCACCACTGAAATACTTATTTGCAGTACTTCCACCACTGTGTATATGTGTGTTGTTGTACCTTGTTGTGGTTGCACTGTTGCGGGCTGCCGTTGACCTGGTAATACTCCACCAGTCTCTCAGCCAGAGCGATGCGTCTCAGCAGATTCTCAATGAAGCGCTGGATTCGAACTTTACCACATGTCTCCTGTCGAGCTGCCGCTTCCAGAAACTTCTGGATGGTTATCACCTCCCTGGAAAACAGCAATTATGTTAAAGTATAGCACTTCAAAAAATGTGTATGTTTCATGACCAGATCTACCATCAGGATGCCTGCATTAGCCACAATGCAACTCAACTGCCTACAGTTCATCTACAGTGATGTGTTAGCAGCTGCTAAAGTAGTCCAGATGATCTGCAGGCTACAGAGGTCTGATAAGCTTCTCTTTAACTCAGCACCTCCAGATTTTTTTTTGGTTCATTTTCATACTTGTAGTCATCGACCAACACTGACTCACATCACTTGAGGACATTTATCAGACTTCACACAGCTCCCTCTCGTGACACTAAACGCCTTCTACTACTTTTAAAACATATGGAGTGGAACTCCCCAACACCTGTTGAATGTTACCTCTCTCGCCGCTCCAGCTCGTTCTCTGAGGCGTTGAGCTGCTCCCTCAGCGCGGCGATCACCATGACAGCCACATCCACCTGCCGGCTCAGCGACCTCTCCCTGTCTGCAACTTCCTGCCTCTCCTGGGCCAAGTGCTGGGAGTGAGCGCGCTCACACAGGAGCTCCGTGTCGGTCTGGGCAAGCTCCGTGCTCACCTTGGCCAGCCGGCGCTGCATGGTGCTGTCAGCCGCCCGCAGGATGCTGGCCAGTCGTCGACGCACGGCGGCCGAGGCTGCTGCAGTCTCCAACCCAGAGTACGAGTTCTGCTCTGGTGGTGACAGTAAAGGAAACAAGTTACTGTGGCTGGAAATATGACTGTAGAATTTGATATTGTAATCATAATTTTAAAAATTAGTTCAAAGCTGCTCCAAAAAGTAAATAAACCCGAACGCACCTATGAGGTCCAGGTCCAGGTCCAGGTCCGGGTCTAGTGGAGGACCAAGAGGCGCTGGAGGAGGGAATGGGAGATGACGGTGGTTGAGTTGATGGTGGCATACATCTGACTTTTTGATGCACATTTTTATATCCTCCTCGTTTCTACCCCCATCTCTCTCTTCACCTTCGTCATCGTCCTCATCCTCATCTCCTCCATCTTCATCCTCTGTCCCAAATTCCTCGTCGTCATCCTCCTCCTCCTCCTCAGCCTGCGTCCCCACACCAACACTCTGCGTGCGTCTCCTCACAGAGCTGTAGGAGTGGAGGTACCCGCTGTCTCTGCTGTCACTAAGGGAGCGGGCGTGAGGTGGCCGCCCCGTGCTCTGCTGCCCCCTGCGGGTCGGGAGGCTCATGTCGTGCCAGGGGATCGCCGCCGTCAACGGGTCGGGGAGTTTGCCAGTGATGCTGAAGCCGCCGGCAGTAACATCTGGTGAGCGGTACGAGTGGCGGTACTCCAGGTGAGCGCGGAGCGAGGCCAGGCTGCGGAAGCGCTCCTGTTCACCACAGCGGGGGCAGCGGAAGGGGAGGTCGCAGGAGGTGACGGTGACGGCACCGCAGGCCTGGCCGTTCCTCTCCAAGAGGAAAGAACCAGAACCTCTGGAACACAACTTCTGCTGCATCACTCTACACCTGGAACAGAGAAGAAACAACTACTAATAAGTCAAAAAAAATAAATAGTTTGGGAATTGATTATTCCTTTAAGTCCTTTACAAGCAAAAACATTTCTCTAAATATATATTTATATCATTAACTAAATATCTGTGTTTTGGATTGTCGGTCAAACAAAAAAGAAATTTGAACATGTCTTGTTCTGCTCTGGGAACTGACATTTTTCTGAAATGTTATGGACTAAACTTAATTGGTAAAGGATGGGTTTGTCGATTAATGAATATTTTGATGATCGAGTAATTCTTTAAGTCATTTATAATGCAAAAATGCTACATATTCTCTCGTCTCAACATACATTTAGATATAGAACAATTCCCTGAACAAATAAACATCAAATTACAGCTGTTATAAATATTAATGGTATAATAATTATGATCCATTAATTAATTCAATCATTCATTTTCTGTAACCACTTATCCTGTTGGGGGTCACGGGGGGGTTGGATCCTATTCCAGCTGAAACTGGGCGAGAGGCGGGGTACACCCTGGACAGGTCACCACACTATCACAGGGCTGACACATAGAGACAGACAACCATTCACACTCACATTCACACCTACGGACAATTTAGAGTCACCAATTAACCTGCATGTCTTTGGACTGTGGGAGGAAGCTGGAGTACCCGGAGGAAACCCACACTGGTACAGAGGGGCTTCCCGACCCCGGGGTTCGAACCGGGAACCCTCTTGCTGTGAGGTGTTAACAGTGATAACCATATGCCATCGACATTCATCACCAAACCAAACTAAAAATAATCAAAATGAGTAAAACCATGCAGAATAAAAATGAGGTACAAAACAAATCAAAACAGTGAAGTTGAAATTTGGAGGGACTCCCTCAGCTGACTTGACAATAAAATAGTTATAGCATGGATTCATCTCTGCTGCTTTTATTTCCAGTCCAAATGAATTTCAATTTTTCCAGTTAAGATGGATAAAAAGTCTCTCTGGTAAAACATTTACAAGCAACAGTGCAAAGTGAGACAAGTCTTTAGTCATTTAAACACTGTCTGTTGAATACACTACCATCAAATAGTTTGTAATCTGCCACAAAGCTTGTTTCAGTCAGGTCTGAGAGGACTGCTCCATTTATCTGAGTGGTATGTCATGTTTTTAGGGTTTTAGAAAGTCCTCTTTACAAGTAGATGTTGTTTTATATGAAGGGTTTGTTTCGTATATGGACAATACAATGGTTCAACCACACTGACACCTGAAAGAGACAAAGATCTCTCTGAGCAACAGCTGCAAAAGAACATAAGAAATCTCCCTTCATGGTTAAAAGAAAGTGGAAGCTTAGCATCAAAATATGCGCAGATTTAAACAACAAAAATATTTAGAGCCCAATTGCACTGTTGTGGTTTCATAATAATTGAGTCACTTGTGCTTTTCTGGACTGGAAAATAAATAGTATTCTCCCCTGTCATGCAACACTGTGGGGACTTTTACTAAATAGAAGTTTGAATAATTGAATTTTTCTCTTTTTAGGTTAAAAAAAAAACGTAAAGAATACATTTGGTGTCTAAATTACATTGTTTGTATCTCTGTTATAATTGCTGCTAAGGAGAAAATGTACCATCATGTAGCAGCACATTGATGTGAAATGTGTAATTTCCCAGTGAGCCAACATGAGTCAAAGCCAAGAGGACAGTGTGGCTGACAGCAGGTTACCTGAGCAGGTGTTCTCTACACACCAACACATTTAACATGTCACACTTTCCCTTCAGTGGCCATTTAATAGCCGCGTAACAGGTCAATCCCTCACAGCATCTTTAGCATCATTAGCCGTTAGCTCTACCTGGCTGCTGGCTCTGAGCAGCACAGGCTAACGTTAGCTAGCTAGCTAGCACAAAACAATCGCTGAATCATTTTCAAAGGAGAAGCCGTTAGCGTGCCGCTCTTACCGGTTTAACGGCGGATTTTAAATAAACGTCTAACCGTAGTGTCTGAGGGTGTCATGTCGCAGATGGAGACCGACAGCAGCCCGCATGATGTCATTCATTCACAGACACACGGAGGACCACGGCTAAGTTAGCAACAGACGATAATAACACGACATCCGGTTAGCCCTTTCAGAATAAAACATAAGCCGTAAGTGGGACTGCTACTTCCGGTATGTATTTAAAAATATATATATGATTTGAAGATTTTCTTTTTCATTGTACTATAATCAAGCAAAAGTAGGTTTAACGTTACTACATTTAACAAATAGCCTCTTTTGTTTAAGTGAAAGTCTTGCATTCATATTTTTTAAGTTTATTTTTATTTATTTATTTTTTACAAAAGTATCAGCATCAAAATATACTTAAAGTGTCCTTTTTCAGAATAATGTGTAATATGTTATTAAATTGTAATTATTAATGTATCGATATGCAGCTGGTAAAAGTGGGGTCTTATTTATACTGCTGGGTAGTTTGTGAATTTCACTGCGGGATGAATTAAGTCTTATTTTTGTCTGTAATCATAAATAATAAATCAGAATGTATTTGTTGATTATGTTTTATATTACTAATCTGGATCTGTAAATTAAACAAGTGAAATAAATATATAGTGAAGTAAAAGGTACAATATTTGAACCTGAAAGATATAGAAATAAAAGTAAAAGTACAGAAAAAGATATTAGATTTACAATTTATTTTTTTATTTAGATATTACAATTTACCATGTTATAATATATTATGTTAATATGTTACTGATTTTTGCATTATGTCCTGTATTGCATCATACAATATTACATCTCTATGTATATAGTAATATAAAGATGTAATATAAATATAATACAGAACACAATAAAAAACAATCATCATATCTTAGTTTAAAAAACTTAAACAAAATGTTTTACTGCATTGTATCATTATTGTGACTGTTCTTGTACAAACAGATCTTGTCTTGTGGTTTCACTACAGCAGCTCAGTGTGCTAACTGATTTAAGTTTCTGAGCTTTTTTTTTTTTTACCATACTGAAACATTTATCACATTAAAACAAAATTGCTAGAAGTAAAACACCTAAATATAAACTGAATAAGGAGATTAAGAAAACAGAATATTCTACATACACAAGTCCCATGCAGCTTTTTTGACTGATAGGAGGCCCTTCCGAGTGCTGAGCAGCAAAGATAAAGTAATTTGAGATCAAATAAGTGATGTGAAGAAGAGTTTTATTTTTCTTCATGATCATGTACAGTGATGCATTCTATGTAATATACACACAGCACAAACAGTGATTATGCATGTTTATGATAGCCCATAATAATCTCATAACAGTATTGTTTCAAAGCCACAGTTTCAGAACCAGAGTGAAATCTGTGAACATGAGTTCTGATAGCTGCCAGTTTAAAGAGAATTCAAGTGCTTCGTAGTCAAATTAGGTGTTAAACATTGGTAAAGAAATCAATCTGGGACTTAACATTCATGTGTTTGTGAGAAAAATCTGACATCTGAGACTTTAGCTGCTAAACAATGCTGCGTTCAGGTGATATTTTGGGAGGAAAAAAATACCTATAACGTAAACAACTGAATCTGATAAACTCTGGTGTGGTTAAATACAAACCTGTACATGCCCAGAGCAAATAGCAACCAACTTGGCTGAATGTTAAAACCAGTTTGAGGGGCAGTAAGTAGAAAACACTGAGTCATCTGCAAACATAGAACACAAATCAGTTTTTCTCTGAACAAATTGTCTTTAATCAGGTTTGCTTCTACCACGTGTGTCTTCATGACAATTTTAGTTATTGAAAAATGGTTTACATTTATGATTTTAAGTACAATTACCTTGATTTTTTACTTAAGTACAGTACTTGAGTAAATGTACTTAGTTGGATTCCACCATTGCCATAAAGACTGGCAAAGGGGGGTAAACAGCTCACCTGGCTCTCTCCAGCACCTCTCATGATCACTTATTAACATTTTATATCTAATTTGTTTGATTTGCAAAAAAAAGTACAACAACTATTTCTTCACTTGGAGCTGCAGACACATATCAGATCTCCCAAATGTAAAACTATTCCTTTAAAGTTTTCTGTTGTAGAATTCGTACAGCAGCAAAAGTTCACAGGTTGGAGTAAATAACACAATAACCCATAATGCACTTGTTCCCTCCTGGTTCCCTCTCTTTCCTCAGTTTCTCCCTTCTTCTTGAGCCTGTGACAAAGAAACTTTTGACACCTCCTCTACCAAGCAGGTGCAGATGAATCTGTGCAGTGCTTCCCTCTCCTCCTCTCTTACTGACAGTACAGTTGGTAGTTGAGTTTGGCTCCCAGCCTGGTTCCCGCCAGGTGTTTGTTGAAGGCATCGTCCATCTCTTGGCTCTGTTCTGGTGTGAAGTGGTTCTTCCAGTCCCCGACCTCGCCTGCAGGGACAAAAATATGGCACAGTTAAACCCTGAAGATTGATATCAATCTCATGTCTTAAGCTATAATTCTGGCAGTTCAGGATAAAACTACCAGGGACTCTTCTTTCATGTACTCATGAATAAGATCTGACACTAGGTGTTATTTTAGCAGAAAATTACACCCAAAAGGCAAACAAACGAATCTGATACTCCCACTGAAACCTCACACTGTAGGTATTATATTTCTGTTTGAGTAACGATTAAACAAATATGACACAAAGCATGATTTATTGAGCTTTATAGGTGTTAGCCTTAGCAAGTCCCGACTCCAGCTTTGTACCCAACACATGAGATCGATATTCATCTTCACATCTCACTCTGAAAAAGAACAAATAAACAAATTTCCCAAAAGGCCAAACTGCATCTTTAAGGTCCCCTTTCTTGAATGATATTATTTAGTTTTCTATGACACAGACAAACCAGTGCAGACCAGGTAACCCTCCTCATGACAACAGCACTCCTCAGTAGCAGTGGCCCCCCAACAGGACAATACCCCGTGCCACACCACAAAAACGGCTCAGAGCATTGATCTGGCCTCCAAATTGCCCAGATCCCCATCTGATCAAACATTTGTAAGACATGCTGGTATCCCACCTCACAACCCACAGGACCTATAAGATCTGCGGCCAACGAACTGGTGCCAGACAACACAGGACAACCTCCAGAGGTCCTGTGTCCATGCCTTGACAGGTCAGAGCCAAATCAGTCCAAGGAGCACCCACCGTGCATCGGGGGTATCTCTCGGGTACCAGCACATCCCTCAAATGTTTGATCAGATTGGGATCTGGGGTATTTGGGAGCACAGTCGATACCTTGAGCTCCTTGTTCCATTCCTCGGGTAATTCCTGAGCAGTTTTTTTGGAGTGGGGGGGGGGTATTTGGTCTGCAACAGTGTTTGGGTGAGAGGAGCGTGTCAAGTAGCATCCACATGAATGCCAGGACAAAAGGTTTCCCAGGAGAAATATATATATATATATTTTCAATATATTGATTATTTAGTATTCTACTTTAATGTATGTAGCCTACAGCGTACCTAATTTTGAACTGAAATGACTGAATGTAATTCCTTTTTTTTCTTCTTTATTTTCTTTTTTTCTGTTTAACTTTCATATAAACATAAGCTTTGTATTTTATAATGTAAATTGATGAAATTGTGTGTTTTATATGTAATGTAGTGTAATATATTGTATGTAAGGTGTGGACCCCAGGAAGACTAGCTGATTGCCAAGGCATTCAGCTAATGGGGATCCTTAAAATAAACATAATAAACATAATAATAAACAATGGACTGTAACAAGATGATCAATGTTATTTACCTCACCCAGTCAATAGGAGCAGGAACCTTGGTTAAGAGCTGGAGATCCATAATAGGCAGGGTTGTATTCCAAGGAGACAGGTTTCATTTAAACACTGACGGGCTTACACGTGAAATGGGGGTTTTCCACCAGAAAGCCTGTCTCTGACATCCCCCGTTATATGGGACTTGGCCTTCAGTTTGCAGATGGTACTAGGGCTCATTCCAAATAATGCCGCAACTTGGTTTTACAGAATACCAGTTTGAAGTTGCCCTATCGCACAGGCCCTATCCAGATCATTGGAATGTGGCATGCCGATTCTTGGAGCAAACACCAACTGACCACTGCAGCAAGGCCCATGCTCACAGGTGCTGACAATCAGGTGCCTGACTGGGGGTACCAGAAGCTCAAAACAAGAGTCAATAGCAACAGCAAAAAAAAAAGCTGTTTGGCATTGGCGGAGAAGATTTGGCAAATTTTTCATGGGCGCAACCCACATACTCAGCTCTGCTGCTCATCCCACAAATGCATGTTCCTTACAAATGTGGCACCATTTAAAAGGGAAATAAACAGGCTTTCCAACCAGATGGGATTTATTACCAAGAGGCATTGTTACAACAAAGAAATAATCTACCAAACACAAATTTCCTTACTTTTTGTGCTTGTTTACATAAGGAGCATGTCCTCATTTGGAGATCACCATTATGCACCGCCATGTTTCTACAGTGGCCCAGAATGGCCTTTCATGTTTTTTCTTTGGCTGCATAGTTCGCAACCCTTCCACGACAAGCAGCATTGGAAAAATATTGATACTGATATTTATACTGGTTTAAATTACCCAGTTGGTTTGTTTTGGAGAGGAAGAGACCTCTGCAGATAATTCGGCTCTTGCTAAGCCTCCTGAATGTCGAGATCTTGAGTTATCAGAGAAAGAAGGTAAGCACAGATTAGCAGGTGCTGTGCTGGCAGCTCTTCTCAGAGCATCAGCCAAACACTAATTGTTTAACGTGAAACAGCTTTATTCAGTGTTTTCACCAGTTTAAATCACCTGGTCCATTTGTTTTGAAGAGGAAGAGACCTTTGATGAATTATTTTTAACAAAGAACACTGAAGGAATTCTAACCATGAGAAGTTTCAGCTGGTTGCAATCTGCAATCCTCACCACTAGATGCCTAGTCTGGAAATCCAGACCCAAATCTAGAAAGATTTAGGGTCTGGCCATGAGAAATGAAAATGGCCCAACTCGAGGGGCGGCACCAAGCATGCATTTGTAAATATCACTGCATGCAATTGGATAACACTACGGCCAATCAGAACAATACACAGGGTGATGTATAGGCCTACGCTTAGCTACCAGCGGATACTTGCCGTATCCGGTCGGCAAAACAGCAAAAAGGTCCTTCTTGCAAAGGAAAGATTCGAGCGCCGTCTTCTGTTCCTCTTTTAGAGAAAAAGCCAAGTCTAACTCGTTCACTGTAGCAGCCAAAGCCGTTTCAAACAACTGGTGTTCATCCGTAGCCATCTTGCAATGTTTACTGACTGATTCCGGTCACCGCAGCGCTGTCGTCATCTGTTTAGCTTGCCTCTGGCCCGCCTATATCAGATATACCGATGTGATTGGTGCAGCTCGGTTCCAAGGGCGTGGGTAATGAGCATCATTACTGATTGCCAGAGTGACTCGCTGAGCAAATTCAAATTGTGCTTTTGCGAGAACTCTGGATTTCCAGGGTACTAGATGCAACTAAATGCCCCTAAATCTTACACATTGGAAGTAAAAACAACACTCCTTAAAGATGTTTTCCTGTGGTGACAAAATGGTTTAAAGCACCTTTTCTGTAGATGACGTCTCCCATTTTACCAAGGGATTTGCCGGAGGTCTCCTTCATGGCACTGAAGGTGCTACCTTCTGAGATCTGCTGCACCTGAGCCTCCGTCAGGCTGAAGCCAAAGAAGGTGGAGATCTGACGGACGCCCTCAGTCAGGTTCTTAGGGACAGGGAACAGAATCAGAGCCATCAGACACTTCCACTAAACACTGACTGTGAGTGATTGTCTCTCTGCAACAAGTTTCATGTCTCCACAGGATGATTTTACATATAAACTGTTGGAACAAGTGATTTTTGAAAATATCATATACCAATTATTAACAGTAATGATCTTGCACATTTTTAAAGCCACCACCTTCTGTCAGATGCAATGTAACAAGCACTGTGTGATCCACCTGTTTTAAGTCTTCATAGGTGACAATCATGACGTTGGGGTCGTCCATCTTCTTCTCCCAGGCCACAGCGTGATCGAAGTAAGACCCCCAGGGAACTACACACACACGCACACACACACACACAAATGACAACAAACTGATCATCCTCACTGATTTTGTGATTACATGTAACTTTTCGCAGAAACGTGGTTCATGCTGTGAAAACTGTTGCGGTTAGGTTTAGGCGTCAAAACTACTTTAGATTTAGAAAAAACATAATGTTTCAGGTTAAAATAAGTAAGTAACGTCAGTGTGCGACAATCGTGCGTTAATTGTTTAATGTTACATTAAAACAACGTTTACTTACATAACATCTGTAATTGAGTATTTTTGCACTACACTGTGATACTTTTACATCATAAATAGACTTGAAATACTTGCAAACATCATGCTATCGGCCTACGTACTGATAGATTGCCCTCCTTTGCCCCGAGAAGGCGTGAGAAGCATCTTAACACACATTGTATGAGTGTCATGATGTAGTGCCCAGTGTCTCTTTACCCCACTTGGATTCAAATGCATCCAACATTTCCACAGTGACTCTGCTGAGTCGGCTGAACACACTGTTTATTAGTCCATAAACAAAGGATCATAAAGTCAGGCTGTGAGAGTATGTGCAATACAACACTCAATCTATAACCTGCATGAACCACATCACCTGAGGTTGGTAAAGCTGTTTGAGGGTTTAGACTGTGTTTTTTTTAAGTTGGAAAGTGAGGCCAAAATCAAATCTTCACTTCTCTGGTGTAAAACTGGTTGTGGCAAATATATAAATGCTGTTGCGCGCGCGCACACACACACACACACACACACACACAGACATCTTGCTCTTTGAATTACCTTTCCTGAGATTTGTTTTCTTGTCCCTGATGTTGTTCTAAGGTTCTTGAGAAGTTGTTCTTTGTGTTCCTGGAGAGCTTGGGTTGTGCACCCGTTGCTAAACTGGAACACCTTTAGCTACACATTTTTTTCTTTAAAAAAATAAATAAATAAAATAAATAACATCATGTTCTTTGGTCAGTTGTTGTTGCCCTATAGTCGCTTAATACTAAATGCTTTGATAAATAAATCAGAGGACAAGGGCTGATAAGTTCTCATTTTCAACCTATAGCCAAAATTTTATTATCATTATGGGTAGGATATATATTTTTATTTTATTAAAATTATTTTTATTTTATTATTATTATTATCACAATTTTCATTATCGTCTTTCTTTGAAATCTAGGGTCAATACTAAAACTCTCACAAAGTGGCGCAAACGATAGGTGGAATTTTTTTTGCATAAGTTTGAGTAAAAAGTTACATAACAAGTTGCACAGGTTCTTTGAATGTATTCAAACTTTTGAATAATTTGAAATATAGAAAATATAAGCCGGTCCAACTTTTATAGTAAGGTTGGCTTTACTGATGTTGGTCAAAATGTTGTTTAATGTCTGGAGTTTCATGTTGCTGTAAGTCAAAGAAAATAATTAAATTAAAAAAATGAGCATTTTTTTCAGCCACATGTTACAGGATAACTATGAGTTTACAGAGGCGTATTAAGGTAAAGTTTAATGAGTGTCGCAGCACGTTTTAACCACAGCAGCAATTCAGAATTTTATGCATGAGACTACTTAAAAAACACACAATGAAGAGATAAAGGGGAACAAAAGCAATTACAATGAAATAAAATAGTCAAAATGATGACTTGAGCCCTGCAGGCCTCTTTGGTAACCCATCATCAACAGTGGAGTCATGATGACATTGTGCTAACCTGGAAGTGGGCAGTGTGTGTGTGTGTGTGTGTGTGTGTGTGTGTTCTCTCACTGTCTCCACTCATGAAGCTGGAGAAGAAGGACTCCCAGGACACGGCTGGGAGGACCTGGTTGTTGTTGCAGAAATGATAGTAGGAGACCAAAGTGTCTTTGGGGTTCCTGAAGATCACCAGCATCTGAACAACACATAACACGATAAATTAAATCATAACACCATAATACAGAAAATAATTTAAAATCATGAGAATTAAAACAGAAGAAATTAGTTTTTATGTCTCATAAACTGCACTGTAAATGTCATTACACAATCCAAATATATTCAGAATTTATTTTATCACAAGCATGGATGGATTTCTGAACGAGCCTACCAGGCACAGGCCCTAGGGGCCCAAAGTGTCAGAGGGCCCCCTATCGTTCCAGCCCATTCTCATGCAAAAGTTGTCAAATACTGCTGCTTTGCCAAGGGTTTTGGTGTCGGACACCTGATGCCAAAAGCCACCATTTGCGTCAGTATGTAACACAGCTGGACGTAACCTTTCCTGTTGTTATGATACGCCACCAGTCGGCCGGACAGCACCTGTCGCGGCAGTATGATACACCACTGGACAGCATTAGGTTTCAGTGCTGCCAGTAGTAGCAAGTCGTAGTGCAAAGTCCCTATAGGGTGGGTGGGAGAGGAGAGGTGATGTATGGATCCAACAAAGCCTGGACTTTCACTCAGGAGCCCAGAGTTTGCTTCCCGAATGCTACACCAAGATGTTTTTTTCGAAACCTAACCACGTGCTTTTGTTGCTAAAACATAACTTGCCTTTGTTGATGTCCCAGGGTTGGCGACCTGGGATGAGAATGTGTTCAGCCATCATCTACAAAATGTCACTCAAATTGATACGAACCAACCATGAAGAGACTGAAGATGACCACAAAAACACAAAGACACACAAAATAATGACAAAAAAGACACTAATTTAATTCAAGGGACTCGAAATAACACGAAGAGATGCAAAACTACCACAAGGAGACAGAAAAATATGCATAATGACTAGAAAAGCCATGCTAAACAAAAGAAAATGCAAAACCACCACCATGTCTGTGTGTCTGGCTTGTATGTAGGAAAAGTGGTGAGGCTTTTTGCATGTCTGTGCCCAGGGGCCCATTGTCTCATAATCCAGCCATACTCATGAGGATAACACGAGGAAGAGTTACATTTTAAAGGCCACCTACAGTCAGGTCCATAATTATTTGGACAATGATACAGTTGTCATCATTTTGGCTCTGTACACCACCACAATGGGTTTTAAATGAAACAATGAATACCTGCTTAAAATGCAGACTCTCAGCTTTCATTTAAGGCTTTTTTTCAAAAATGTAGCATGAACCGTGTAGGAATTACAACCATTTCTTCACACAGTCCCCCGACTTTAAGGGCTCATAAGTATTTGGACAAACTAACATAATCATCAATTAAACAGTCAGTTTTAATACTTGGTTGCAAATCCTTTACAGTCAATGACTGCCTGAAGTGTTGGACACATAGGCATCATCAGATGCTGGGTTTCTTCCCTGGTGATGCTCTGCCAGCCCTTTACTGCAGCCGTCTGCACTTCCTGCTTGTGTTTTGGGTGTTTTGCCCTCAGTTTTGGCTTCAGCAAGAGAAACGCATGCTCAATTGGATTCAGGTCAGATGATATGACTTGGCCATTGCAGAACATTCCACTTCTTTGCCTTAAAAATGTCTTTGGTTGCTTTTGCAGTATGCTTCAGGTCAATGTCCATCTGCACTGTGAAGCATCATCCAATGAGTTTTGAAGCATTTGGTTGAATCTGAGCCGATAATGTAGCCCCAAACACTTCAGCTTTCATCCTGCTGCTCTTGTCAGCAGTCACATCATCAATAAATACAAGAGAACCAGTTCCACTGGCAGCCATACATGGCCATGACATAACAGTACCTCCACCATGCTTCACTGATGAGGTGGTGTGCTTTGGATCATGAGCAGTTCCTTCCTTTCTTCCTTCTCTTGTCTTCCCATCATTCTGGTAGTTGATCTTTGTTTTATCTGTCTATAGTATGCTGTTCCACAACTGTACAGGCTTTTTAGATGGTTTTTGACAAACTCTAATCTGGCCTTCCATTTTTAAGGCTAACCAATGGTTTGCATCTTGTGATAAACCCTCTGTATTTATTCTAGTGAAGTCTTGTCTTGCTTACAAGAGCAGCAGGATGAAAGCTGAAGTGTTTGGGGCTACATTATCTGCTCAGATTCAACTAAATGCATCAAAACTCATTGGACGATGCTTCACAGTGCAGATGGACATTGACCTGAAGCATATTGCAAAAGCAACCAAAGACATTTTTAAGGCAAAGAAGTGGAATGTTCTGCAATGGCCAAGTCATATCATCTGACCTGAATCCAATTGAGCATGCGTTTCTCTTGCTGAAGCCAAAACTGAGGGCAAAACACCCAAAACACAAGCAGGAAGTGCAGACGGCTGCAGTAAAGGGCTGGCAGAGCATCACCAGGGAAGAAACCCAGCATCTGATGATGCCTATGTGTCCAACACTTCAGGCAGTCATTGACTGTAAAGGATTTGCAACCAAGTATTAAAACTGACTGTTTAATTGATGATTATGTTAGTTTGTCCAAATACTTATGAGCCCTTAAAGTCGGGGGACTGTGTGAAGAAATGGTTGTAATTCCTACACGGTTCATACTACATTTTTGAAAAAAGCCTTAAATGAAAGCTGAGAGTCTGCACTTTAAGCAGGTATTCATTGTTTCATTTAAAACCCATTGTGGTGGTGTACAGAGCCAAAATGACGACAACTGTATCATTGTCCAAATAATTATGGACCTGACTGTATGTTGTCCATCTCGTCTTTATTTTTATTCAGATTCAAACTAGCTTTGTTTCCCATTTGAGGACTTAAGAGACACATTTCCTTTCCTGTTGTCTACTGAAACAGATATGATCTATTTGTTCTCTGAGTTGGAGATGTTGTTGCAGACGTTTTGAAACTTACTTTAGTTTTCTTTGCGTAGAAGGAAGCGGGTATGTTGTCAGGAGGCATGTGAGTCCCCAGAAACCTCGGAGAAGGAGTCTCTTCCAGGATCTGAGGGGAGAGCAGGAGAGGGGAGATATGCTTTTATGTGAAGTTATTCAGCATTAGACACTACAGTATACCACCAGAATGAGATTTGTATCATATGTTAGTTCCCTCCAGAAACTGACTCTCCAGACTGGTTTCTGATCTATGGTAAAGGTTTGGTTAAGTCTAGGGAACTAAAACTACTTTGTTAAAGAAGTATTTCACAGCGGGAAAGACGGATTTTTAATAAAAGTACTGTGTCTATGCTGTAGAAAGATGCAAATACTTTTGAAATTGGCGCTACAGAACCAGAGAAAACAGAGAAGAGGAAGGAGAAGACCTACGACTACCAGAATGCACTACGCTGAATCAGACCAATAAATAAAGGGTTGCAGTGGTATACTGCTTTCAAGGTATACCATGATATGAAAACTGACAATTATCACACTGTGTACATTTGTTTATCTATAATAATGAAAGAAAAAACTGGACGAAAATTTTCACCTTTTTTTTATTTTATTCACCATTGTTTTCAAAAGGGAGACTTTTTATACATACCTTCATTAAAAAATGGTTTCAACTCAAGTTTGTTTGCCCCCTAAGTGCAGTTCATTTGAGCAGGTGTGAACACAGCAATCACACTCAGGTGTGCACCAAAACAACCAGACTGAGACCTTCTTGAAGAGGTGGTCTCGGTCCGGTTACAAATGAACTCTGGTGCAGTTTGTTTGTGGTGAGAACGTGTTCCGACCTGGATCTGAACCAACTGCAGTCACATGACACATTGTTTGGGTTAAACATGAGCATGTTACAGTCCTGGAGGATTATTAATGTGCACCTCCTCCTGTACTGCCTTAATATGCACATTCAGCACATCCAATGCATCAAAACATTGTTTTCTAGTTGGAGCCGCGCCTCGTTTTCAAACTGTATGGTTTGACTAAAATGAACAATGACAGCAATATAGTCCACGATGAGCAGCGCTAAAATCAACCTGCGTAGTTGTCCCTCCATTGTGACATTAGAAAGTGTCACATTTATCTTGCAAGTGTACCCTTCTTTAACGTTTGGTTTACTTCCTGGATTTTTCCCACATGGAAATTCTGACCAATCAAGAGCAGCTTTCTCACACAAGGCATTTGATCTGGTCTGCTTGTAAATGCTGCCGTGAGAACACGAACCAACTCTAGGTCTGACAGAGCAAGAATAATTCTGTACTACCATGATACCATGAATCCGCAGTATTTTCTGAGACTAGTGGGAATGATCTTCTCACTGAACTCTCACTATAAAGAGAATATATGTACTTTCCAAGATATTCCTTTACTGTCTCCCTGCCCTGTTCTTTCTCAGGATTTTAACACTGCAGAGTTCTACACATGATTAATTAGACAACAGCAAACTATTCACACACACATAATTACACACACCAAACCATGTGTTCCGGATTAAACAGTTGAAACAAACCCATCAATGAGACTTCCAAGAATCCCTTTAAACACAAAGAACATCTGCATTTCTGTTTAATGCCTTTATTTAGAGGATGTAAGAATGTGTTTTCTGATCACAGATCAGCCATCTGTCGCCGATTAACGTCATCATCCTGTCTTTTAGGCTAAAATGTCCCAACAAGCTCAGATTGCAGTGACAAACCGCAGAACTCTGTTTGACTTTTGAGCTCCAACAGAACGACTCCCTAAAACATCAGTTTACTTGATGAGGTTTGGTTTCTGGTCAAGTTTATAAGGATGGATTGCAACATTCAACCAACGCACTATGAGTATGAATGACGAACGCAGGAACACACAAGAACAAAACTGCTGTTTCACATGAGGAGCTTTGAGTTGTAGTTTTTGAATAGCTGTGAGCCCCCCTAACAAAATCCATTCATCACCATTGTGATTGAATGAAGGCAGAGGACATCTACAAATAAGTTAACAGAGGCTGAAAAGGGCTGCAGAGTTTGTGATAATTCTCTTTGGGTTCATCATAACTATCGACAACTCCTTCCGGTTAACACATCATCACTATATCAAACTAGTAAAGCTTTAACCTGCTGTTGCAGTTATCACTGACAGTCCTGTGTTACACAACAGCTGCTGATAGTGACTCGACAAAAACCATTGACACACATAAACACAGGCTTTATCTTCATCTGTCTGTCTGCATGGTAACCTAAACAGGATCTGCCTGCACACACACATACATACACAACACACACACACACACACATCAGGGGAGTAGCCTACCTTCACAACGTCCGGTCCAAAAAACTCGATCAACGGTGGCATCTTGGATTGTATTTGAGGCGTGCCTGCGACCGCTGCCATGATTTTCCTCACCACCCCCACCATCCAGTTAAAACCTGCACACACACACACACGTAATGTTGTAGTCAAGTATTGTTTAATCACACTCCATTTTAACCTCTGGTCAAGACAGCAACACCCAAACATAATCACTGTATAAGAGAACTTGTTTCAGGTTTCAATATTTCACAACAGTTGACAGTGAAGCAAGCAGATATAAAATATACTGAACATGTGATCCTGTCATACACTGTAAAAAGATTTTAATTTTGTACCTACTTGAGAAAAATTTAAATAAGCAATACTTTTATCATCGTAAAGCAACTAATTTCAAAGTTGTTGAATACCAGCGCTTGGGCAGTGGCTTCCATGTGGGACACTGACGGAAAAAGCTGTCCTTACATGTCAGCATGACAAGCTGCCGAGGTGCCATCAGTGCGCACCGGCACCTGATGGTGTCAGGGAGAAACACGGCGGAAATCAACATAAGTTAAGGGGGTGAAAAGTCAGAGTAGGAGAGTAGGAGAGTCCAGTCACCAAATTTCACCCAGGAGGCCGGTGTTCGCTTCCTGTATGAATGTAAAGCCAAACACTGTTGTATTCTTCTCAACCTAACCACTTGCTTTTGGTGCTTAATTAAACCTACCCATGTGCATGTATTGGCAAGTTCAAATGATGTTTATTTGAATAGAGTCTCATGGGTTTGACGGTAGCAATTATGGGTACGTTTCTGGTTCAACAAAAGGATCTACCCTTCAACGAAAAGGTCTGCCTCTGTCAGGGTCCTTTCCATAATGTTGTCATTTTTAATATCAGTTTTTGAGCCTGACAGTGTCAAAAACAAAAACATTCAGAGTGGCTAAATTGCAACCTGGCCGCTGCTCTCATTTATTCCTGGACAAAGTTCAAAATTGTTGGTCCCATTAGTCACTTAGACATAAAACCATGGGCTCAGCCAAAGTTACCCCTGAAGAGGCACTTTGCTGTTCTTTTCACTTTGGGTGCGTTCCGAAATCCAAACTGACGCTGTACACTACGATGACTGAGTCATACATAGCACGTTTTATTTTTATGAGTTAATGGTTAACTGAAAATGGATGAAAGAAAAACTTTCCTTCGCCAGCTTCACAATACGAACACTCCCTTGTTCCTAACTCACATGTGACTAAACTAACCAATCAGAAGTGAGGAGGGCTCAGTTAGATGTCATTTGATTTCTCTTTATCGTCAGAAAACCATTTGATATTTGTCTTGCGACCCAGGACGTCAACTGTTTTACAGAAAAACCCATTGATACAAGGCAAACCAAACAACAAAATCATGCACTCATTGGTTCCTCTCGGTCGTCAAAGCACCGTTGCAGGATGTTTGTTTGTTGTCTGTCTGTAACTTATGTTGCTGCCTGTCTTGGCCAGGACACTCTTGAAAATTAGATTTTTAATCGAAGAAGGTTTTTCTGGTTAAATAAAGGTTAACAAACAACACATAAAAACTTCAGTTTTTGACCCAGGCCACTTAGAAGCCACACTCTGAGTTGTTAGGTTGACAGACTGAGGAACAAATGAGTTCCTTAACCTGTTCAGTCGAGCCTGTTGGACTTTATATCTTCTGTTTGATGGCAACAGCTGATACTCTCCAAATAACCTGTGAGAGGGTCAGACAAAACATAGAAGCAGTCTAGCAGGTCTACTTACCATCGTAATTCTCAGCTCTTTGTCTGTCAGTCAGATTTAATTGTCTCTTTCATATTGACTGAGGTAAATGTGAGGAAAACCACGGATTCAGCAGATTATTGTAACTGTTTTAAAGTCACTGAAGGAAGTATTTAAGCGTGCAAACTGTGCAACCATTCATGTGTAAGATAACTCACCATTAACCTAACTTCTGAATCTTACTGTAACACCTGTACACACACCTGTACACTTACACGTATATCACGGACTCTGCAGCTGCTGCATGTCGTGTCTTTCATCTGTTTCACTTCCTCTTCTACTCTTTCTTTTTGGCAGCGAGCCGGTGTGTTACTCTCCACTATGAGGATAAACCTGTTCCCCTGATGGATCCTATTTTTACATAATAGCTCTGCAGCACGCGAGGGTTTATGGGCTGCTTATTACCTGTCACGTAAAAGTGTTTTATCATGTGATGACTAAAAGCATTTCCTCTGAGATTTGCAGCAGCTCCATGCAGTGTATTTATGTGTAATTCTCACATCATCATTTATAGTCGGAAGGCCTCTCACTTTTAGCTTTTACTGCCCAGGGTTTTTTGTTTTTGCACGGCCAATTTTTATTTATATGTATTTATTTTTATTTTTATTTTTTCATTTATTAAATAATTAATTTATTTACTTATTTATTTATTGTGGTGCCAAATTAAATGTGTTGTTCTGGTGTACACTGTGGAAAATGTTTCAACAGTCTAAACGAGTAGAGTAAAAGACATCTGATGCGACTTGTGGCTCCATGTCAGGTCTCTTAAAATGCAACCAGGGTTCTGATTACAAAATTCTCACTCCCATTCATTCTTTTTTTTTGGTCCAGGTTTAATTCAGTCTCTGAGATTGCTGGGTATAGGACACTTTGAAGATAGTCAAGCTAAAGAAGTTTAAAGAAAAAGAAGTGGTGCTATTATTTTCTGTGTAATTGGATCTCCCTTGAAAATGACACCTGGCTACTAATGTGGAGAGAAGGGAAACAGAAAAACAATTTGGGAGCCATGTCGTGCAACACAGACAGAAACCAGTGAAAACACAGACTGTAAATATGAGAGAGTGGAGGTGAAGGTTAGGTTAATCCTCCTCTATCTTCCTCCATACATCACCAAGATGTCAGGAAGTCATTATCTGTGTCAGTCAAATGCTGGTTTAACAGCCCGCAACATCAAAAGGTCTCATTCAGCTCTTAAAACTGAGGCTCCCGGGGCGTTGGCGGCTTAGTGGTAGAGCAGGCGCCCCATGTACAAGGCTGTTGCCGCAGCGGCCCAGATTCGACTCCAGCCTGTGGCCCTTTGCTGCATGTCATCCCCCCTCTCTCTCTCTCTCCCTTTCACACTTGTCTGTCCTATCGATTAAAGGTCAAAACACCCCAAAAAATATCTTTAAAAAAATAAATAAACAAATAACTGAGGCTCCCATTGGCTATACTGATGGAGGTACAGTCACACACATGCTGATCAATAGCTCTGTTATCCTCATGCGGGCCCTGGGCCAAGTGAGGGCCCTACACACGGAGATGTGCGTGTGTGATCTAACATTCCTCTGAAGGCGATAAACTCGTCTGTCGTCCTATCGTTGCTCCACCAGCGATCTGGCGTGCAAAGAGCTTTTCAAAAGTAAACTCAAACCCCAAAAGGACATGTCACATTCCTCAAACGCACGGCAGCAACAGCGGGAGTGTCACGCTTTTCTTGTTCTGAAGAAACAGCACTGAGCGCTTTTAAAGCTGCTGTGACATGGTGTGATTAAATAATAAACAATATTCACTCAGGTACTGGGGCAAATCTTTGCAATGCACTACCCAGAATTCCTGGAAAATGATGGAAATGAAGTGGTCATCGAAAGGTTAAAGGGCTCATATGATGCTGTGAAGGAGGCATTTTTGAATTCAGTGTTAAATGAATAAAAACTTTTCATTACTTATTGTATGTTTGAAGATTTCCCAACTCCAGCACCAACATTTAACTCCAGAAAAATGAGAATTAAAGACATTTTACTTGTTTTAATTCTCACCTGCTTTGATGTTTTTAACTAGTCACCGCTCAAGAATATTGATACTTCTTTATCTGGCAAAATCTCGAATTATATTCAGTGATAACATTTCATTTTGAAACTATTATATGGTTAAAGAAACAGTTTGACATTCTGGGAAATTCACTTGTTTGCTCTCTCTGTTGCTGAGAATTACGATGGCAAATACGAAGCAACAGCCAGCAGCCAGTTAGCTTAGCTTAGCATAAAGACTGAAACAGCTAGTCTGGCTCTGATAATACGATCCTGTAACTCAGCAATCAAACACATGATATGTGGAAATGTGGCGGGCTGTTTCTTGGCAGTGATTTTACAGAGAACTTCAGTGCGAGTAAGATTAGTCTCTCTGTAATTCTGTACAGAAAGGACTCTCTGCTGCGGGGGCTGGCATCAGTCATGAGGTTTGGATTCGGCCATTGTGAACATATTTACAGGGCTGGCGTTTGCCAACCTTTTTTTTGCTGTGTCATTCTGTATCTCTAAGCCTACTTGCAACTCTTTATCTGCAGCCGACTCCTTGTTTTATTATTTTAGTGTGTGTTGAACTCCCTTGATGGGCCAGTTATAAAAAAATAAATAAAATGAAAGTGAGGAAAGCCTGAAAAACACATTTTTTTTTTAATTTAACCCATATTTAACTGGGTAAGTCACAAAAAATACACAATACAATGTAGAAATATAAGAACACCTTTGCACAATGACAAGACCCAACTGACTTTAAAATCAGACAGAGAGACCAGTTCATATTGATTCAAACGTTTTGAAGGTTATTCCAAGTGAGAGGAGCAGAGCACATCAAAGCTTTCTTCCCCTGCTCAGTCCGTGCACTGGGAACAGTCAACAACACTAAGTCTTGAGATCTCAGACTGAAGCTATGGTCAGATCTCTGGTCAATTAAAGTACAAATGTACAAATGGAGTTAACCCAGTATGGCTTTATAAATGAACAAATACCAGTGACTGAGCCTACGGAAGGTCAAAGATGGCTGTAGCTATAAAAAAAAAAAAAAATTCAAAGTAAAAAGCAACTTAGTGTAACTTTCCTTCCCAACCATCTATCAAGCCGTTAGTCTGAACGTGTGACATCTTGTCAGGGTCCAAACCTGTTAGGCTGGTAACCAAGTGTCCAGATTTATGACACTTGTTTTGGCTTTTAACTGATAGACAGATAGTAGGGGGGGGGGGGGGGGGGGGGGGGGGGGGGGGGGGGCGCACACTCTACCAGGTGAGCTACCACGGTGCCTTCACTGCATTGTTGCATGTGAATAGAGTATTTTCCAGCTGCTGAATCTCTTAGGTGTCTGTAGGCCCGTTTCCACTGAAGAAGTTCCTGGTACTATTTGGGGGGCAGGAACTACTACAGGAACGTCCTCTCGCTCGGCCCTCTCAACTGCCGTGTCTCCACTGAGAGAGCGGAGTAGGAGGAAGGTTCCTGTAAAGTTACGGGCTCTGGATGTGACGTAATCGTTGCGTGACCATTTACCGGGGTGACATAGGGATGCCGTTAGCTGATAGCCCTTAGCGGTGTCTGTAATAACTCACTAAATGGCCCGTGAAAAAAAAAAATTCCAGCGGATGTCTTAGTTACAACATGATTGAGCTAACTGGAGTAGTTTCATGTTGTATCCGACAACGGGAGGCTTTTAACAGATGACGTCCTGATGTTAGCTTTGCTGCTGCTGTTAGCTGTCCCTGTCAGCTGCAGCCACTACTGATGCTTTCTAGACATTGTGATTTCCCAAAACTGAATAAATACCACACATAGCAACACCAAACTGCTTTGCTAGCTCAATCATGTTGTAACTAAGATATCCGCTGGAAAAAATATTTTTTTCACGGGCCATTTAGTGAGTTTTTTTTACATGGCGGAGGAAGCTATATGACCGAGCTAATCCTCGTCTGCTGAGTTTTAAAAATGCCGGCTATTTTGTTGCTTTCTGTTGACATCACATCCCTCCTTGAGTATATCCAATCAGCACCAAGTAATCCCCAAGCCCCAGCCGGGAGTCTTTCGGGGCCGTTCTGAGTACCTACTCCGAGGCAGGGACTTGTTTAGCCCCTGTAAAAGTTCCTGAACTCTGTCCTTCGGGGGTGGTTCCTGTGGTGGAGACATGCACCAATGGCCCCGGCCCCGTAAAATTACCCCGAAGTTCCTGTGGTGGAAACGGGCCTTGTGTGTCCTTGAATGCACCAACATCCAAGAGTTTCCAAAAACATTTCCTGTTGTGCACTTTCTCCGGTTCTTTAGCTCTCATGGTGGTCACTTGTTTGTTGATTAATACGGTTCATTGCTGATTAATTATTTATTTGTAAGATTAATTGCAAACCTCAGTTAAAAGTTTCCATTAACAGACTTGTTGTAGGGTTACACGTTACTGAGGGTTTCCTGAACAGTCTGCCACAAAACAAAAATGTAACTTTGAAATACAAAGTCAGTTTTTAAGTTGATTTTTACAGAAATGAACCAAAGCAAATGGCTGCCTGGAGGGAAGGAAATCAGTCTAAACACTTAGCTCACAGTCAGTGAGTTTACATGGACATGAATTACCCAATTATAGGTGTTTGGAGAAGTAGAGTAGTTTATGTGGTTAAGCACTCCGAAAGAAACTAGGATGTATATGGGGAACATGAATAACCTGCTGTCTCTGTGCTCATGTGAACACCATATCCCGAATATGATCAGAACCAGAATGAGCCTCACAAATGGGTTATTCATGTCCATGTAATCACATTCTGCTTTGTTTCCTGCATCTTACAACCTCCCTTTTTTTCCTTTTTCTACTCTTTCTTGTGCAGATGTTTGAGGGCAGCGATGATTGCGGTATGTGCAACAGCTCAACAGGAAATCAGAAACAAACAGAAAGACTTCTCCCTCCTAATCACTGCAGTCTATGCAGTGGAACACAAGATGCCTCCTTCTGCACATCACAATACTTCATGGTTAATTTTCTTGATGGAAAAAAAAATGATATCTATATCTTATCTCTGCATTTACAGTTATATATCACTCCTGTTTTGATTCTGTTGTGGCAACCTCACTCTGCCATGCGACTCCCACTAAAACAACAAAGTGACGCTCTTACATTTCTGCTTGTGCACAGATTAAACAAACATAACATGATATAACATGCTCATCAGTGAGCTTTAGAGGTGTTACGGCGTGTGCTTTCAAACTCTGGACAGAGCCCAAAATGATCTAGTCTTTTAAAGGCTCGTTATGAAGAATCAGTCATAAGGAAACAACTGTTTTTCAGCTCTCATGGTGGTCACCTGTGTGTGTGTTAATTTCTATGATTAATTGCAAACCTCAGTTAAATATTTAAATCAGCAGACTTGTTGCGTAGTTACATATTACTGATTAAGGGGGTTGAACAACTTTGATTTTGATACCAAACTTTTTCATGTGAATCCCAATCATATACCATGTGGGAAAGACTGCAGAGAGAAAAAATAACATTAAAATTTGGATTCTTGTTTTACAGTAAGCAGGCACATTTGCAGAACTAGGAGATTTATCAATATGTCAGAATTTTACCCAGAACAGTCACTTTTTAATGTTAAATATACTATATATAAGACTTTATTGGATTGATTGGTGATTTACTTCAGTTTAATTCTGCATTCTAATCTTAAGATTTACACTTACATTTCAAGCATTTGTTCATAATACCTTTGCACTACATGTCAGATGGAAATATTCTTACTGCACTACATTTATTAAATAGCTTCAATTACCTTGCAAACTGAGATTGGTAATGACTGATGATGTGATTTATTATTATGGATTAAGATATTATAAGACTTTATTGATGTGGAAAGCAGTAGTAAAGTAATTAAAATGAGCTCCACGTTTACCAGCTGCAACATTTAACATTAAAGTGATGAACACATTTGTGAATGGGCCAACTGGACAAGGGCCCAAAGTGCCAGAAGGGAGCTCTTTGGCCTTCTCCTGCAAAATGTCACTCAAATTAACACAGACTCACCAGGAAGAGACACAAAAAGACAACAAAGAGATGCAAAGGAACTGCAAAGAGACACAAAATGACCAAAAAAAGAGACAAAATTATCTAAAAAAAAAAGACTACAAAGAAACCATAAAGACAGACAAACCAAAACAAACAAACAAACAACAACAACAAAAGCAGATAGGGCAAAATAGCACAAAGTCTTTGTCTTGCTCCTGTTTGGGAGGCATATCAGTGCCTGTGGGCTCACTGTCTCATCATCCAGCCATGAGTACTTCTACTTTTGGTACCTTAAACATATTCTAATGCTGCTGTACTTTGACTTAAGGAAGATTTTGAATGCAGGACTTTGACTTGAAAGAAAGTGTTTCTACACTGTGTTATTACTACTTTTATTTCAGTGAAATATCTGACTGCTTCTTTCACCACTGCTAAGAAAAAGCTTTACTGTCACCAATGTTAAAATCATTGACATTTCAAGCAATCAGTGGAGGGGCGGTCAAAGGTCAGAGGTCACAACAGATTAAAGGTCCCTTTAATGACCCTTTAAAAACTTTATTAGTCACTTAAACAAATGTAATATGTGACCTGAAGGCTGTTGTAACTGAGTCACAATCACTCACCACATTTGGGATAAGCCACCAGCATGATGTCATCCTCCCTGGCGGTGATGTCCTTCAGAGTCTTTAAATTATCCTCATGGCACATGAGGCGCGGGTACAGCACCCCGTTGTATCTGTACAGCTTCTCCTCCTCCTTCATCTCCTTTGCCCTCTGCATCCTGTCCTGCACATAGGTCTGGAAGGTTTTGGGGTCCATTTCCTACAGCGTGGCTACACAGATCAGAAGCTCCTAGAAAAATAATTATAAAGTATACAGCACACAAAAGTGTAGGGGTAAAAGAGAATCTGCTGTCTGTGCAGCTGAGCGTCCACTGCTGCCCTGATAGCGAACGAGTGAGCACTGAGAAAGAGAAAAACACAGACGGGGTGTGTGCATGTGTAGTAAAAGGGGGAGGCTCCAGGCACCTCCTCCTTTTACGACACATGCACACACACACATAGGAAAATGTGTGTGTTTGTGGCAGTGTGACTGTGGGAGATGCCTGGACAGTGTTTGCCAGATGGGAGGTGCATGCTGACAGACTGTCTGCAGACCCCTGGTCTCACTCTCTCCTACATACACACACACAGAATTATGTTCACTAAAGACCAGTTCTAACCAGTTTTTCACTTTCTACTTGTGTTGCCAATCAGCCCCCCAGAATCTCTTAAGCAGTCAAGGAAAACCCCTACCGCAAAAAAAGTTCAGATATGACTTAAGACAGGAAAGTTCTTGAGGGGAACTTTTTACTTCCTCAGACAATTTGGGAGTGTCTTCGAAACAAAAAAATAAACTGAAAAATGATTTTTGTTACTCAGTTTCTGCAAGTCTTCCTGTTGTGTAAGTGTGTGCTTTTGTAGTATTTAAAGAACAAAAAAAAGTTCAAATTACATTTTTTACCTACTGTACACCTCACATCTTTTAACGGGTGCTTGAATGATTTACCTGCACTATCTATAAATTTGGGAAACTTTCAGGAAAGAGGACAAAAAATGGTCAAACCTGAAGCAACAGACACCAAGGTATCCTGGATTAGGGTTTCTTTGTATCAGTTTGAGTTGTTGTGTATATAGTTTTCCCCCTGTGTGTTAAAGTTGGTCTGATCAGCCAGTACATGTTGCCCCAGTGTCTGGTTCTGTTAGGTGACTTCATGTCTAGTTTTTATCAGCCTTATTTTTCAATAGAGTTATATTTTGTCGACCTCTTTTAAGGACCCTAAAATTCTGATTTCATTACCTTGAGTTATTTGTTTTGTAAAATCTTTTTTGTGCTTTGACTGCTTGGTCCACAACAGCTGGAAAAACAAGTGGACACCCAAACATTAAAGGCACATTTTGGGAACATGGTAATTACAAGTGCTTTACATCAAACATCGGAAGCATCAAGACAAAGTGCAAAAGAAACCCATTATTAAATGACATTTAAACACAATTTAAAATGTCACTAATGAGTTAGAGGATAGAAAGTAAACACAAGATTAAGACAGGTATAAAATACGAGAATAAAAGTTACAGTGCAGTATAAAAAAATAATAAATATTTGATTTAATAAAAGGCAGCAGCACTCTTTTTTTATTTTAAAAAAAAATAAAAATTTTTTTTACATCTTGTAGCCAGTCACAATAGGATGGGCCCTGATTCCAACTTTATCTTCTGCAGCTGCCTGTTCCTTTAAAGGTTCTATGTGTATTTAGGTATCTGTATATGTGTACACTTGTGCATATGTATACTATTTTTTCTTTGTCTTTTGTAATGCTGTATAGCTGTTTACATGTTATTAAAAAACAATAGAATATGTTAAAGAAATAAATAAAAGGCGGTGGCAAAGACAAAAGTCTTCAGCTTTGATTCAAAAGATCTTCCTCACACCAGGATAGTCCGTGGGACGGGGAATGCTGAAAAATTTCACACCTTCATTTGGTTCACTTTCACACTACACTTTTTAAAGCGGACCAAACCGCCTGGACAATGTCACGCAGTTACAATAGCTGCTCGTTTGGGGGCGGTACTGCCCATAATGACCACTGACCAGGAAGAAAAAGGAGCATGAGGAAGAAGAAAACCCGGCTCATCGATTGGCCAGGACCGAAAACGGAAATCAATTGTGGGTAGCCATAAGCAGCTGAGATATATAGTCCTCTGACCATATATCAATAAGCACCTGCATTTCCTCACTACTCCAGGTCTGCCCATATTGCACTGCGTTCTACATCACTTCCCCTCTTTGGTTCACTTCCTCTCTTTGGTTCGCTGGATAGTCTGTTTGCATTTCCCACTGTAAGTGAACCGCACCAGGGTTCACTTGCAAGTGAACCGAGATCCCCAGTTTTCAAGTGGATCAGGGTTCCCTCATTTGGTCTTCACCAAAGTTCGAATGAGCGTTCACACCACTCCAAACGAACCGAACTATCCGTGGAAGCGGACCAGGGTTCGCTTCCACGGATAGTTCGGTTCGTGGAAGCGAACCAGGGTTCGTTTAAAGCAGACCAAATAGTGCCAGTGTGAATGCGTCCTAAGAGTTGCAGCAGACCTGCAGTTTTCTGGGAGTTTGTTCCAGATACAGTACAGGCCAAAAGTTTGGACACACCTTCTCAGTCAATGCCTTTTCTTTATTTTCATGACTATTTACATTGTAGATTCTCACTGAAGGCATCAAAACTATGAATGAACACATGTGGAGTTATGTACTTAACAAAAAAAGGTGAAATAACTGAAAACATGTTTTATATTCTAGTTTCTTCAAAATAGCCACCCTTTGCTCTGATTACTGCTTTGCACACTCTTGGCATTCTCTCCATGAGCTTCAAGAGGTAGTCACCTGAAATGGTTTTCCAACAGTCTTGAAGGAGTTCCCAGAGGTGTTTAGCACTTGTTGGCCCCTTTGCCTTCACTCTGCGGTCCAGCTCACCCCAAACCATCTCGATTGGGTTCAGGTCCGGTGACTGTGGAGGCCAGGTCATCTGCCGCAGCACTCCATCACTCTCCTTCTTGGTCAAATAGCCCTTACACAGCCTGGAGGTGTGTTTGGGGTCATTGTCCTGTTGAAAAATAAATGATCGTCCAACTAAACGCAAACCGGATGGGATGGCATGTCGCTGCAGGATGCTGTGGTAGCCATGCTGGTTCAGTGTGCCTTCAATTTTGAATAAATCCCCAACAGTGTCACCAGGAAAACACCCCCACACCATCACACCTCCTCCTCCATGCTTCACAGTGGAAACCAGGCATGCGGAATCCATCCGTTCACCTTTTCTGCGTCTCACAAAGACACGGCGGTTGGAACCAAAGATCTCAAATTTGGACTCATCAGACCAAAGCACAGATTTCCACTGGTCTAATGTCCATTCCTTGTGTTTCTTGGCCCAAACAAATCTCTTCTGCTTGTTGCCTCTCCTTAGCAGTGGTTTCCTAGCAGCTATTTGACCATGAAGGCCTGATTGGCGCAGTCTCCTCTTAACAGTTGTTCTAGAGATGGGTCTGCTGCTAGAACTCTGTGTGGCATTCATCTGGTCTCTGATCTGAGCTGCTGTTAACTTGCGATTTCTGAGGCTGGTGACTCAGATGAACTTATCCTCAGAAGCAGAGGTGACTCTTGGTCTTCCTTTCCTGGGTCGGTCCTCGTGTGTGCCAGTTTGGTTGTAGCGCTTGATGGTTTTTGTGACTCCACTTGGGGACACATTTAAAGTTTTTGCAATTTTCCGGACTGACTGACCTTCATTTCTTAAAGTAATGATGGCCACTCGTTTTTCTTTAGTTAGCTGATTGGTTCTTGCCATAATATGAATTTTAACAGTTGTCCAATAGGGCTGTCGGCTGTGTATTAACCTGACTTCTGCACAACACAACTGATGGTCCCAACCCCATTGATAAAGCAAGAAATTCCACTAATTAACCCTGATAAGGCACACCTGTGAAGTGGAAACCATTTCAGGTGACTACCTCTTGAAGCTCATGGAGAGAATGCCAAGAGTGTGCAAAGCAGTAATCAGAGCAAAGGGTGGCTATTTTGAAGAAAGTAGAATATAAAACATGTTTTCAGTTATTTCACCTTTTTTTGTTAAGTACATAACTCCACATGTGTTCATTCATAGTTTTGATGCCTTCAGTGAGAATCTACAATGTAAATAGTCATGAAAATAAAGAAAACGCATTGAATGAGAAGGTGTGTCCAAACTTTTGGCCTGTACTGTATGTTACATAAAAACTAAATGCTGCTTCCCCATGTTTAGTCTTGACTCTGGGGACACAAAGACCTGTTGTACAGGACCTGAGAGGTCGTCTCTCATGACTGGAGAGAATATATTTGCTGTTAGACTGCAGTCTGCACCACCACAGAACAAAAACAGGTTTTGCTCTTGTTCTTTTATAGATTCCAATTTCATAATTTGTGTCTCTTTTCCCTCTTTGCCTCTTTCAATCACTCCTTTCTCTCTTCCTCACACTCTCTCATTCATCCTCTCTCTTTCTTTCTACACATTTTAGTGTTGGCCATTCGGGGGCCCCACTCAGCTCGGGGGCGTCTCTCACTGTTACACACAAAAATCTCCATTCAATGCCGCACAAATGAGCAACTACATATTCTGCACACATACTCAACTTTGACCGAAATTTGCACACAGAGTTCTTTGAGGCCTCAGACATAAACTGATACACACATTTCCAGGCTCAGTCTGTCACACTTTCTTTTCTGTCTTGTACTTTACATGAATACTTTTTGAAACAAAGCTCTCTGAACAGTTGCACACATTTAGCAATCCCTCCAGGATGTTGCCATGGCAATAATTAACACAAATTCAGCAAGTTCCCGTTAGTTGCGCACGACCTTGCAATTTTGTCCAATTACTGCAACTTTACTGCAAATTTGACTATTTAAACAAGTAAAATCTCTTTTCATTGTAGAGCAGCATGCAGCATATTGATTTGCTCAGCACCTCTTTCTTTCTTTTCTCAAAAACACTTAGATAGCAACATGCATTGCAATTTTTCAGAAAGGCTGCCATGAAATCAGACATTTCATACTGCAACAAGGCAAGGCAAGGCAAGGCAAGGCAAGGCAAGGCAAGGCAAGGCAATTTTAATTATATAGCACCATTCATACACAAGGCAATTCAATGTGCTTTACAAGAGAAATACGTTAAGATAAAACATTAAAGGAACAATAGATCATTAAAAACAAAAGCTAAAAGCAAGAAAAACAGTGCAGAAAATGCATTTAAAAAGCAAACATAAAGCAAAAGCAACAGCAGACAAATATAAAAACAATAGCTACAGATTATCCTAACAATAAGTTACATATCTAGTTCACTGGTAAGCTGCAGTAAATAGTAATGTTTTAAGCCCTGATTTAAATGAGTTGACAGTTTCAGCCGACCTCAGATATTCTGGAAGTTTGTTCCACAGGCGGGGAGCATAGAAACTAAAGGCTGCTTCACCTTGTTTGGTTTTGATCCTGGGAACACTGAGTAAACCTGTTCCAGATGATCTGAGGGGTCTGGATGCTTCATAACGTACAAGTATATCAGAGATGTATTTAGGCCCGAGACCATTTAGTGCTTTATAGACAAGTAACAAGATTTTAAAGTCTATCCTTTGACACACAGGAAGCCAGTGCAGTGACTTAAGCACTGGTGTAATGTGCTCCACTCTCTTGGTGTTGGTGAGGACTCTGGCAGCAGCGTTCTGGACGAGCTGCAGTTGTCTGATTGATTTTTTACTCAGGCCTGTGAAGACACCGTTACAATAGTCCAGCCTGCTGAAAATGAAAGCATGAACAAGTTTTTCTGTATCTTGTTTAGACAGAAATTCTTTTATTCTTGCTATGTTTTTAAGGTGGTAGTAGGCTGATTTAGTAATTGTCTTAATGTGACTATTGAAATTTAGGTCTGAGTCCAGAACTACACCAAGATTTCTGGCTTGATTTGTAGGTTTTAGTGTCATGGCGTCAAGGTGAGCACTGACTATTGATCTTTGTTCTTTGGGGCCAAAAACAACTATCTCAGTTTTGTCTGTGTTTAGTTGTAGAAAATTCTGGCACATCCACGTATTGATTTCGTCAATGCACTTATTTAGCAGATGTAGGGGACTGTAGTCATCTGGTGACACTGTTATGTAAAGTTGTGTGTCATCTGCATAAGTATGGTAGGAGATGTTATGATATTCCATAATCTGAGCAAGAGGGAGCATATAGATGTTGAACAGAAGAGGCCCAAGAATGGACCCTTGAGGAACTCCACATGTAATCTTTGTTCGCACAGATTCATAATTGCCAAGTGACACAAAGAAATCCCTGTCTTGTAAATAAGATTTAAACCAATTTAGCACAGTGCCAGAAAGTCCCACAAACTTTTCTAGTCTGTCGAGCAGTATGTTATGGTCAACTGTGTCGAATGCAGCACTGAGGTCCAGTAATACCAGAACCGAAATCTTTGATGCATCACTGCTCAGATGAATGTCATTTAAAACTTTTACAAGTGCAGTCTCAGTGCTGTGATGTGCTCGAAATCCAGACTGAAAGGCATCAAAGGAATTGTTTTGCTCCAAGAAGGTGTTAAGTTGCTGAAAAACAACCTTTTCAATGATCTTTCCTAAAAATGGTAGGTTTGATATGGGCCTGTAGTTATTTATTACTGAGGCATCCAGATTAGGCTTTTTTAAGAGAGGTTTAATGACTGCAGTCTTCAGGGCCGTTGGAAAAAGGCCTGACTGAAGAGAACAGTTGACTATCTGTAGTATATCTGATGCTATGCAGTTAAAAACATCTTTAAAAAAGCTTGTAGGCAGAGTGTCAAGGCAGCAGGTAGTGGACCTAAGGTTTCTAACTATGTCTGTCAAAGTAGCATAATTTAATGGGTGAAAAAGTGCCAAATTAACTGGAGTAGTCTTATGAGGCACAGGTGAAATAGCCACTGTGTTGGAGTTACAGACTGTCTGTCTTATCTTTAAAATCTTGTCTGTGAAAAAAGAAGCAAAGTCATTGCATGCCTTGGTGGATAGCAGTTCAGGAGGGACTGACGCTGATGGGTTTGTCAGTCTGTCAACAACAGTAAATAAAGTCTGTGCATTGTTGTTATTTTTGTTGATAATCTCAGAGAAAAAGGACTGCCGCGCCCTTTTTAGCTCCAAGCTATAGATGTGCAGACTTTCCTTATAGATGTCATAATGAACCTGGAGTTTGGTTTTTCGCCACCTGCGTTCTGCTTTTCTGCATTCTCTTTTTTGAGCTTTTACCTGTGTGGCGTTCCTCCATGGTGGTTTTTTCTTACCAGAGACAACTTTGACCTTCATGGGGGCAATATTGTCCATAATATTCATAGCTTTAGAGCTGAAACTATGAACCAGATCATTGACAGAGACTGAGGGCACAGCTGGTGTGGGTATGAAATCCTTGGTGAATAGTGTACAGGTGTTTTCGTTGATATAGCGTTTTCTGATTACCCCTGTTGTACTTTTACTGGTGTCAGCGGAGATGGCCATTTTAAAGAAAACACAGTAATGATCAGAAAAGGCAACATCAGTCACCACAACCTCAGAAATGTTGAGCCCTTTGGAGATAATTAGATCTAAAATATGTCCCTTATTGTGTGTTGGCTCTGTTACATGCTGGGAAAGTTCAAAGTTGTCCAGGATGTAGAAAAGTTCTTTCGCACTGCCATCTTTGGGATTGTCAATATGAATATTAAAATCACCCACTATAACAACACAGTCAAAATCAATACAGACAACAGATCATAGTTTAGAAAAGTCATCAACAAAGTGTGCACTATATTTTGGAGGCCTGTAAATGGTTACTAATACTGCTTGACAGGAGGATCTCAACTGCAGTGCAACATATTCAAAAGACTCAAACTTACCATATGACAACTGTTTGCACTGGTAAACATCCTTAAATAAAGTGGCTACTCCACCTCCTTTCCTAAGTTCTCTAACTGAGCTGATAATATGGAAGTTTGGGGGGGCTGATTCAATAAGTACTGCTGCATTGTTGTTTTCATTTAACCAAGTTTCAGTTAAAAACATACAATCAAGGTTTCTCTTGATAATAAAATCATTAATTAATAGTGACTTGCCAGCCAGAGATCTGATATTTAATAAAACTAAGTTTAATGTACTAACATTGTCTGACACAGTCTGTGGCTGACGCATAACTGGAGTCAGATTAGATAGAGTAGCTGTGCGCTTCGAGTGCACATTGTTTTTCCTGATGCTAGACCTTGGAGATGACTCTGGCTGACGCTTTTCAATTTCAAGATGTGTTTGACCATGCCACTGGCTATTTAAGATTGCCGGTATGTTTAAGGAAGCGGCATGGGGTCTGACTCATCAACAATCCCCAAAACAGCCCACGTTATCCTTGGGGGACTGGATTAAACATTTGCTTACTTGCATATTGCCTGAGCTGTGAAATAGTTCAATTTAAATTCTTTTTAGTGTTGCACTGGCCTGTGTTTGGGACAGTAGGCTGTCAGTCGATATGAACATGAACCCATCCTGCACCTGACTGGATGAACGCTGCACTTGTGGGCTATCGTTGATGTTTGCTTGATCCAGGAGGAGAGCTTCAACTAATGAGCATTTCCATTATTGACTTATCTGCATTTATTTTCCTAATTAAAGTGCAACATGTCCATGACAATTTCCCAACAGCCAAAGCTGACGTCTTACTATAATGACCAGGAAAACAAGCAAAAATGTTCATGTTTAAGAAGCTAGAACCAATCACTTATCAAAATTGTTGCAGATCCATTTTGGGTTGATGGACCTCAACTTTACAAACACATTCAAATTGTTGAAAGGAAAAGCAACACTATATTTGTGAAGCTGGAACTATGAAATGTGTTTTTTTTGCATTAAAAACCCACAGATCTACTGTATATCACAAGATGTAGGTCTTGGAGGACAAAAGTAGCAATGACGTTTCTACACCGGTAGGTGGCAGCAAAGCAAACAGTGCCTGGTCTGCCGGAAGAAAGACGAAGAAGAAATACAGGAAGTCAGAAATGGCGATGGACGGAATGATGTCCACGTCTTCGGGTCTGTCTTACCACAATGCCGGGGACTTTTACCCCAGAAAGTTCGGCCCGAAGCCGGACGTAGTGCCGTCCGGGGTCACCGAGAGGAAAGTGGGGCCGCTGGATAAACCTGACATGGTGTCGGTGGATGTCATTAACATCAACGACTCAGGTTTGTTATGCTAGCAGGCTAACGGCTAACAACACGTAGTCAAACGTAGTCTAACTTAAGTTAACAGCTGATTCTGGGTAAAGCTGTGACCGTTAGTGAGGTTTTAACGTGTATTCCGTTGTTAGCCGGCTATAACGACAGGTCACACATTAACAGTGTCTTTTACAACCCTGGTAAGACGGTTTAATGATCCGTTGGGGCCCCTGTGTCTTGTCTGTTGACGTTGACGTTTGTGTGCCGCTAATCCAGCTAGCAGTGAAGATGTGTTACTGTCAGACAGCCCTTATATTCAGCTTTAATAGACACGAAAATTTAAAAGGCAGTTAAAACTCAGTGCTGAAAGAAGCACTCTTAGTTTTTACTTCAATAAATGTAGCAGTGCTTCAGTGTAACATAAAGTCTTGTGGTCAAACCTTGCTTCAATGAAAGTATAAAAGTATTTACGTCAAAATATACTTAAAGTACCACAAGTATTCATTATGCACGACGGTCTTTTCGGGATAATGTTATATTATTGTATTGTATGACTGAAAATTAATTGGCAACTATTTGGTAATGTTTAATTTCATTTTGAGGCAAAAATAAATGAATAAATAAATTAGCTGATGTCATGCTTTTAGATGTAAGATTTTGTTGCCATGATATTAAACTGAACAGCTTTTGGATTTTTGGATTAAACGTAACATTTGGTGACATCACCTTGGGCTCTGGAGAATATATAGAGCATTTTATTTTCAGTTTTAAAACATCATATTGATAAAGTGATAAATTTCTTAATTGAGAAAATAATCAACAATGGCAGTAATCATAAGTTGCAGCCCCACTTTAGGGATGCACAGTAGTGCCAGCATGTCATCGGTATCAGCCATTATAAGCTTTAAAATGAATCAGATTCAGCCAACATGCTTTTAATTATTTTGCACAATAAATGAATATTAGATACATGGAAAGCAGTTATCTATTGTATTCTATCATGTCTCCATCTGCTGGTAGGCCATCATGATAAGAGTATGCATGCATAATATGATGTTAATTCCACTACAGAAGAGATGTGATGAGCACTAAACTGAGGTGGGGGGAAAAGTGGATATATCAGTATTGGCTATCCGTCAAATGAGTCGATACACATCAGCATATCGGATATCGGCAAAAAATCCAATATCGTTCATCCCTTACTTTATTTTAGATCTGCAACAATTCGTCAATTAGTTGATCGACAGAAAATGAAGTCGCTGTTTAGTAATTGAATAATCATAGTGGTAATTTTTTAATTGAAAAAAAAAATTGCCATGCTTTTTGATGTGAGAATTTGATGCCATGATATTAACTTGAGTAGCTTTGGGAAGTTTTAGGTGCTGCTGGGTAAGTAAAGTTCACCCCAAAATCAAAGTACATATTTTTGCTTTTACTTGTTGTGCTATTTGTCAATCTTTTTGATGTGAGTTGCTGTGTGTCACAGATATTGGATGTAGAGATATCTGTCTTGTCTCATACAAAATGAAACTAGATGGCTTGTGGTGCTGAAAACACCAAAAAATTAATGTGAAAAAACTCAACAGCAATGTCTGTCTCCAGAAATCACAACCTGGTTACTCAATATAATCCACAGGTGTTGTTGTTAACAGTTTCAACTAGGAACTATTTTCTTTCCATCGAACCACACCTGCCAACCTCATGGCAACACAGAAGAAAGCATGCATCTACCACTAGCTCACCTAGCACCACTGAGCTAGCTAATGTTACAGCTCAGTGAGAAGGACACCATAAATGTTTACATCTCACATTGTCATGAGCACAAGCCACTCGTAGCAGTAGATCATAGTCACACAATCAAACTACCTGATTGAGACAGCGGTAAACCGGCAGCCCCCGTGTTCAGTGAGGGAAAATGACCGTTTTTGTCAATGGAGCCTGATGGCTTTGACAAGCACATAAATGAGGAACTGAAGCAGCTTCTTCATCAGGAAGGACTGTCTGTGGCAGGGAAGCGATGATAATGCACTAAATATAGCGTACACTTAAAATGTGGGACCTTTTTTTTTTAAGAGGCTAAAATATGTTTCACTGCTGCCCAGTCCACAGCAGTGCATTGGCAGCACACCTGCCTGCTTCTCTAAACTTGGACGTGCCAACCACAATTTACTGTAAATAATGACCTCATACAGCCCCGCTTTAAAAGATCCAAAAAGGGTTACAGTAGAGCTGAGAAGTTAGTTTTCTCTGTTTACTCAGATAATTAATAATGTATGTGATCATAGTGTTATTATAAAAATGATGCACAAAGCGGCAAAAATAAGACCAGAGTTGTAAGTTGTTTGTTGTTGTCATATGTTGACAGTGGTGTCTGTATTCTTCCACAGATGTCCACTTGCACAGGAAGAAGCATGAGCACGACACGTATGTCTTGGTGAGTTTCTCTGGGTTTTTTTATTTTTATTTTCATGGCGTTGAGTGGCTATCGGTTTGATGGGTTTCTGGCATTATGATTATCTTCTTTTTTCCTCACTTATTTAGTAGTACACAAACATATTCATAGCAAACAAAGTCAGAAGCCATACAGTTTGCAGCGGCTGTGATTTGAGCAGAGAGAAGCTGTCTATGTAGAGGTAGTATGAATGACGAAAGGAGTTTTACTTATTAGACTGGAGCTTCCTTTATTTTTTGCAAGACTAATGAAGGGAGGTTCAGCATAGCTTTAGTTGAGGAAGACAGTGTCTTTTAATCCTTCTGGTTTTGTTACAGATTTTGGTCTAATTGTTGAAATGTTCCTTTTAAGAGTTGAGTCTTCTACTTGGGCACACAAGGATTGTGGGAAGAAGTCTTTAAATCCAAACATTTGATTTAATCCTAACATTAGTGCCAATACCTTGCACACAATGTTACTGTGATTATCTCACCTTCAACATCATCATCATCATCAGAATCACAGCTCTGATCTCATATCACTGCCTAAGAATAGAATAGAATAGTCTTTATTGTAATTGTGTGTACAACGAAATTAAAATGCTTGCTTGGCATTTTTGTTGTTTCTTGTCTTCACAGTTTGAGCCGCATAAGCTAAACTGTATTTTTTGCCTTTGATTATTAATTAGCAATTTACAAGTCAGGAAAGAGCAAACTCAGACACAACTCACTGCTTACTACTGAGGGGGTTTACAACAGGTTAGTCGACTCTGTGTTTACAGCGACTATAGTCTTTAATCTTTCTTTAAAGACTTTCTAGGTCAATATGTATAAAACTTTTAAGAACAGGTTATAAGAAACGCGTGAGTCATAAGTTTAGTTCTGCAAAAAATGTGACTTTCTGGAATTGTGAAAGTTTAGTTTAAAGAACTTGAAATCACTTTTGATGCAGTCATAGCATGACACAATAAAACAATTTACAGGGCTTGTAAAAAATGATAAACATAAAATGTCTGGAATTTTACATTTGTTTTTGACATTGCCAGTTTTTCCACTTGTATTTAAAGCTATGTTTGGTCTTAAGGGGGTTTAAAAAAGATGGATTACTTTAGTTCCTGCCTGTACTTTAATCAGCCATCAAATGCTGCAAAGTTGAAGTCAACTTTCTTGCTGTTTTAGATGCTTGTACATCTTTAAAAAATATGTTTGTCTCATGTAAAGAGACTGTGTGGTTTTTGAATCCCTCAAAAATAAAAATCCTCTGCAAAGCTCTTAGAGAGTTATTTATGTTTCTTTTCAAGTCATCTACAAAAAAATTCTCTTTTGGTTGCTCTGTTGCTACAGTTGCTCTGTAGGATTTAATTTAGCTGAAGTCTTTGTCATACACTGACACACCACTTGGTGGCAGTGTAGGTTACGCTTTGTCTCCTCCTCTGCTCTCCTATCACCCACTTAATGAACCTGTTTGTACTTAAATTAATCCAAATATCATTCCTGACAACTTTACAGAATTATTTCTGACTGCATATTTTAGCCTGGAGCAGATTAATGTAATCTTATGTTAAAAGTTTCTTAACTATTATTAATTTTATTTTATTTGCAGGGCACCATTCATCCATTCAGGAAGACACACAGATCCATCTTTGGAAAATTCCAGCAAGAATTCAGACTGGTCACCTCAGATAGACGGGTAAGTGTTTGTGTGTGTGTGTGTGTGTGTGTGTGTGTGTGTGTGTGTGTGTGCGCGTGTGTGTGTATGTGTGATGAAATCAAGTCTGATCTTTGTGTCGTCTCTGGTATTTTTTTGGCTTCATTTGTTTTGATCATCAGACCACTAAATCCGCCTGGTTATCATCATCCTCCTTGGTTTCACTTAGTAGTTAGCGTCTGGAGAATCCTCACTTTGTAATCCCATTGTGCTGTAAGCTGGTTAGATTCTGTGTCTCATACACAGAGTCAGACCCAAACACCTCCAGTAATCCTGTTTCCCTATCGGGTCACCGTGTTCCCGTGAAAGCAGCAGGGATGAAGCCCTCAGAGTAAAATACCATCAGCAACGAGCTGACTGCTGGTCCACTGTGCCTGATACTGTAGCTTCATTTGTCATTTGGGACATTTTTCATCTGTTGTATTTTATTTTGCTGCTTTTAATCATGAGCTGGAACTTAAACTCAACTAGGAAGAATAAAATACATGAACCCTTTAATGCAATTATCCACCCAAATTCATACTTTGAGTATCAAACATGTGCCGTGATCATCTTGGATTCATGTCAGTTACAATATATTTCAATAACAACTAGAAAAGTGCACTCAGTAGAGTGCAGATCTCCACCAGGCAGCCGCCCGAACAGATCACCACCTCTCTAGACTGTTCTTGTAATTCCAGCTGACACGTCACAGCAGGTCCCGGAAGCATCCTAGAAACTAGTAAAAATACACACCTTGTCTATTTTTGACGGAGCCATGGCGTGTTTCACAGAACAGATTGAGGTTTCCTGCTAACAGACAGTGTATGTGAAATATAGATACAATACAATTATAAGGATGAAAGTATTTTTGATAAATAAAACACTGCTTCAAATCTTTGACTCATGTTGTTCATAACTGGAGTTTTAACCATATTAACTTTGTAGGTTTATGCACAACAAAGTAAGAAATAACAACAACAAACACAAAGAAAACATTTAACTGCCTGTTGACTTATTGTAGAAGCACAAATGTCAAGGACAAATGACCAAGTCTACAAAATCTGGCAGGTAAAATGCTCCTTGTATGGTATGACCATGGTACGACGCAGTGTGAAGGACAAATTAAAATGTGGTTGCAGCCATGGCAGCCGGTATGCAGCGAGCTACAGCCAGGGGAATCGCCCTAGCTCTCTAATAGACAAGATGGCGACAAAGATAAGAAACATAAAAGACTTATTCATTGTGCTTAACTTCAGTGGATCATAACATGTCAGGAATAGAATTAATCTGCAGATGCTCTGGGTCAAAATGAGACAAAACTTCAGTATGGATGTCAGTGTTGAGACGACCAAGGCCAAAATGTGGCCTGTAACAGACGGCAAGGCTTGTTGTTTTACTGTGGCTGATTTCTGGAACACTTGCAGCCTCTATCTGCCGTTTAAGAGGAGTAAGAGGTCAGCAGTCAGTGATGGTATATAACAGGTTTTTCAATGATTGTGAATCACAGCAACCACGAGAGATCCGTGAGCATACAGTCATCAATGTGCACACTAAATATGAGACTGATTGGTCCAGTAGTTTGAGAGATTAGCTGTGGACAGACAGATAAACACACATACGGCCAGTGTCGGCCATACATGACCAAATGCATGATCTGCTCCAGGCTTATGCGTGATACAGATAATAATTGCTGTTGTAAAATGGCACAAAACCTGCAAAGAAGTTCCACCAAACGTCAGGGCCATTGGATTGTTTATTTTTGCACCAAGATTCCTCAATTTATTTACATCATTCTTGCATTTTAGGATCAGTATTTATTTAGAGTGCAGTGGAAATAAGATCTTAATGTGAAATTTGAGAGCTTATTCATGATTTGATTGTTGTTTTTGGTGCAAACTAGGGCTGCAGCTAACGATTATTTTCATTGTCGACTAACCTGTCGATTATTTCTTTGATTAGTCGACTAATCATTTTATCGAAAAATTTGTTAAAATGTTGAAAAATGTTGGTCTGTCTCTCCCAAACCCCAAAATTATGTCATCTAATGTCTTGTTTCGTACTCACGCCAAAAGGTTTTATTTCACCGTCATGGGAGAGTGTGTGAAGCTGCCAAGATTTGAACATAAGAAGCTGCAATAGGAGTATTTTAGGGTACTTTTATAGTACTTTTCTATGAAAAATGACTCAAACGGATTAGTCGAGTACTAAAATAGTCAGCAATTATTTTGATAGTTGATTAGTCATCAATTGGTCGACTAATCGTGGCAGCCCTAGTGCAAACTGACCAACTGCTCAACAAGTGCTAGAAAAGCTTGAATCAGTGAGGCAGGAAATATTTGCTTCCTGTGCAAATGCAACACAAAACTCTCATTTTGGGGTGAATTCCTAAATATTACAAGGTCTCCTGGTAAAGCATAACAAAGATTATACATGTCTCTCACTTATGACCTTTATCAGCAATAAAGCAGCATATTGTACTTATTCATTCTGCACTTAAGAGCCACTCAGGCCCTGTTTGCCTGTATGTTGCTCTCTGTTTGGACACTATATTTTCCCTTAAAATCACCCAGAGCGTGCTCATGTTGCCTTTTTGAGCATGTTGACCACTTGCGCTTGGCTGGCTGGCAGCTCTAATGCAGTGTTTAATGAGGATTTAAAAGCTAGGAAAGGTACTTGTGTTACTGCAGGCTCTCATCTTTGTTATAAACATACATTAAATATTCCACCTCAGCAACAACACATACTCACTGTTATGAAATTGGGGAACAACAATAGAGTTTGTCCTAATTTCCCACTCAGAAAACATCTTCAGTTCTAATGCTTGGAGTGATTGTGTTCCTCTAAAATTAGAGTACATGAAAAAAAGTAGTAGTGTGTCACAACAAAACAGAGACAGGTGTAGAGTCTAAGCTAAAAATGCTTTGGAACAACACAGGGATGTAGAAATTACAGATTGTTTTGTGTGTGTGTGGATGTGTGTGTGTCAGCGTTATTGTAGTATAATCCACTTTGACCACATACTGGCAGGGGGTCTTGCTTCCCCATAGAGCCTTGGATCGGATTACATGGTGTCGTACACGGCTTAGGGACCAAACATAGTTCAAACCGGCGAAAGTTGAGATGTGCTTCCTCAGCGCCTCAGCGCCCTCGTCGCATGTCTACTGTTACCTTTGGTGTTGTGATATAAAAACAAAGGTCTCTTGTCGACATCTGTTTTCAGGCACAGTTTGACCGATACAGGAGTTTTTACAGGCTGATACAGAGTTTAACAGATAGATGATATCTTAAAATCTGCACATATCTATGCCAAATATATTAGATGTGTTCAGGGTTTTATCTTGGATTGAAAAGCCTCTGAAGCAGCATTTAAAGCATTATGAGACACCAAGGGCTTCAGTTTGGCTTTAAGCACAGTGAATTGAGCCTTAGAAACACCCTCCTCACAAACCTTTCCAACATCCGAATCCCAAATGGATAATTTAACGTCTACTTCTGTGTCCACTCTTTGAACACTGACGTTTTTGCAGGCCATGAACGCAGCACATTCAGAAAGAACTCTGTATGACCTTCTCAGCTGTTTGTGGAGTTTGAGTTGTTGGGGTGGTTAATTGATCAGTTGATCTGATCAAAGCTGATCAGATCGATGGGTGAGAGGAGCAGCTGCTACAGTAGCGAGTCAAAGTAAACCTTAAGACCTAGCGCAATGAACGGTTAAGCTTCAGTCTCACTGCGCCTGGTGTTCTGTCTTTGCCCAGAGTAGGTGCTGCACTCTTCAACTGTGGTGCAGTGAATAACTAAACAGTATACATATTCCAACAGCTCTCCTATTAACGGGTCCAGCTCCAATAGAAAATCATATGTGGCGGCAGATTGTGATATCGTGACGGGCCGACACAAAAAAGAATATTTGGGAGATCATGGATGTACTGTAAGCAGCCAGTTGGTAAAGCAATGTCACTTTTGCTCCGACGAGTCAAAATCTTTGATACTTCTAACGTTGCATTTATGCCCAGGAGAGCCTGTTCCTCGCTTCCAGTCTATTTGTCCAAGTTTTCTTCCATTTTTTAAGTTACGAGCTGTTGTTTTTCTTTTGTGTTTTCTGTTGTTCACACGGCTAATGACCACCCCTGGTTCCTCATGTGCTGAAAAAGTGCTCTGAAATAGGAGCTATAAAAAGTCCCTCACAACGGCGTTCTGAAAACTGGTGTCTTTCCTAGTTCTTGTGGTTCGTATGTAACGAAAAGGGGGGTTCATAGAAATATGAAAAAGTTTCTCCGGTCTGAAAATGCTAAATAATGGCAGGCTGTTCACTAGCAAGTGTGGTATATTTAATAGTTATAGACTTTAGCCTTTGTGAACATGGTCCGACGACACGCATTTAATGACCTAGTTTGTTTTAAGCACACTGAATCCTTAAAACATCCACTGATTTTATGATTACAGTGTTGAAATGCAAAGTGACCCCCCTCCAAACTGATATAGACCAAGTCATAACCCTAACCCTGCTTTTTAAGAATAAATTCAGAGCAAATAATGAAAGCTTAGTGTCACTTATCCTTCATCAATCATGATAAAACTGGGCAGAGTTTGTCTGTGTAGCTCACACCCAAGATTTCACTGTCGAAACTGAAGTAGCAGCAGCAGACATATCGTTCCTAGTATAGCTCAAGCTCCAAAAGCACCAAGCCTACATTTCCCATGATGCAACTCAGCTGTATCTCTTCATCAGAAACTGCTTAAGTTGATAGACTTCTGTTCGGACTTCTTACAGCTTGGAAAACCCGCTTGTTATGTGTAGAATTGTCCTTTAATTTCCTGCAGTTTTTTTTCTACATGGAGTTTCATACAGGATATAAAGATAACGTAAAGCAGAAGTGAGTTACTGAGACAAGTTTTTATCAGATGAATTCATTCTGTTGCACTCTATTCATCACGTCTGTTGTACAGTGCATGATTATAGTGCTGGACATTGGTGCTTGAGCTCATCAGTCACTGTTGCAGTTACAAAATGTCCTGATAAAACTAGAACAGGGACATCAGGCCGTCAGCAGAGGAAAGACATGACTGGAGGGCAGGAGAGTGAGAGGACCAGGCGTCATCTCGTTTCTGCTGTGGCAACCCAGTTGGAAAACTCCTCTGTCCACGTTAACAGGCCGCCACTGCTGCCGCCGATTCATTATGTAAGTAGGTTTATTTTGAGAGGAGAACATGGCCACCCTGGAGACACAGAGCCCCGACGGCTCCAATTTGAGGAGGATGTTGATGTGCCACTGCAAGCGAGCCGTGGCGGGTTGTGATGGCGGTGTGCTGCGGGTTTCACTTTGCCCAACAAGTCCCACAAATCCTCTTGCACATACTCCCAGCCCCTTATGATAAAACTGCCCTCTCCTCCTTGCTCTACGTTTCTTCTTCAGAGGCTAATATGAGTCACGCCTCTGCTCACCATGATGACACACATTTCCCCAGCGCTGCCTGATGATGCGGCAGCATGGCACGGCGCTCAACAATGATGTAATCAGGCCTGGCGTCAGCAGAGGCTCCTTTATTTAATACAGTACCTGGTGACTGAGGCTCTGTACAGGCGCTGCAGCTCTGTCACTCCAGTGTCACATGTAATATCAATACATTGGCATGCCTTTATGCCACCGGACAGCCAGGCGACACCGCTGACAGACAGATGGGGGCAGCAGAGTGTCAGGATTGAACTTTGGTGCACTCTCCTCCAGGCGCTCAGTGTATGTGTACGTGAAGGGGGGTTGGGAATGTTTTGGGCCAAGTGCTGTCTCTCTGTTTGCACACACGGACACATGCACGCATGCATGCACTCACACACGCATGCACACACACACACACACACACACACACACACACACACAAACTGTGGGTCTCCCATGCCTGTCGCTGGCTAGTGCTGTCACCAGACGCCCCAGTGCTGTCATAACACAGCACACCACAGTAATTGTAGATTTCACAGCACTCGGCGCTCCCCACCACGGCATATGACTCCAACACGAAGTGACAGGCCAGGACACACACACACACACACACACACACACACACACACGTTCCCTTGTTCCATTTCTTGTTTCTCTTTCCTCTGACACACACAGACGCACTCTCTCTTTCTGCTCAGAGGGCGATTTTAGACTCAAGGTTTTTTTTTATTTTTTATTTTGTTCATTGAAAATTCTGCTGAATTTACATCCAGGCAGATGGAGTAACACCAGTGTTAAATGGGCACTGATACAGACTGTATGGAGCAAGCTTAACTGGTCTCTCTGGTCTCCTTTCATTGGTCATTTGTCCAAACTTGAACAACCTATATTTATGTCTTCTTGACAAATTATTTGTGGTCGTTGTGTGTGTGTAATTACTGCTGTCTCTCAAAGGCAAAGGAGGAAGCAAGGTGGCCTTGATGGCTCATAGGAAGGCGTTTGTGGTGGACAAAGACCACAGTTTACATCCTGTCCCTGACCAATGTTGGGTTCTTTTAGCCATGGCCACAGTCTTCTCCAAACCTTTGCCAAGTGGTTGAAGTTGCCTGACTTTGAGTAAACGTTTACAAGCGAAACAGCAGCATGTCGACATTATGTTCAAACCAGTTCCTTTACTCTAGACAAGCAGTTTGAGTTCAACAGATTTGATTTGATTGCAATTTTTTAGAAACGCTGCCATGAAATCCTACATTTCAGGTCGCATCTATTACAAAAACAGCCCTGGAAATCCTGAAGGGACTGACTTAGCATGCTCAGCAGATGGTGCATTAATTCAGTAACTAATTAAGATAGCTACCATTTTTTTAAAACTATGTATAAGTTATATGGGTCACTTTGGATGGCGCTGGCAAATGATGTACTGTAAGTCAGAGGACTTGTTAAATATATAAAGGGTTTACATGTATTTCTAGAACCCAGGTATTGAAATGTAAAACATCTCTAGTCTTTCTTAAAATAGATTAAAATAGATTTATCGCTTGTATAAAGCTTTATAATGTGTTATAATCAAACCAACAGATGTTACAGACGAGCAGAGCTACTCTTTCTCAGTACTAAGGCTGTTTTCCGCTCTCTCGTCCTCTGACAGTGACCTTGCCCTCAGCTGGTATTTCTGTGATGAACTGATTCAGACTGTAGTGACTCGTTCAGTCAGACAATTCACCCAAATCCCCCGGCCGACACAGCAGGTCGACCGCAGGGCAGGAAACTCACCCTGCATCCAGCAGCCAAAACCCAGCAGCTCCCAGTCGGTTTGTAGGTTTGGATTTAGATTAGATGGCGGCTGGTCACCTGCCAGAGTGTCTGCTGCGGGATGCTGACTGACAGCTGGGGAAACCCTGTTCAGGAGAAAACAGTTGTATAATATCTTCTGTGGCTCTGGAGCAGCTTTATGTCATCACGGCCATCTATGATTGGGCTTGTGGACAAATTCAACAGAAAAACTGTTACAAACTGTAGTTACGAAAGATGCTATTGAGGTGCATCATGGGAGGTTTAGGATCCAGTGCTTTACCAGGGACTGAAAGCCAGCCAGGGTATCTTAACCTCTGCTGCTTTGATTTTGACTTTGACTTTTTTCTCATTTGTCTTGCAAGTTTCTGTAAGACTTTTTCCTACTGGACACGATGTGAACTGGCACAGATCAGATTGTCTGAGTGGTTCCCAGTAAAGAGGTCCTAATTTGATTTGTGTGTCAGCGAACAGACAAAGTGACATTTCGCTTGCCTAAAAAAACACTTGCCCTGGCTGTATTTTTGCGAAACTTCACGCACCTTCAGCCTATTTTCATTGCAACAGCAAGCTGTTCTTTAGGCTCGCTCAGGGCTCCATAGGCTCCCTGAAAATTGTTGCTTGCAGTATATTTGGACAATTTGTCACGCTCCTTCTGCCAGAGTTCATTCCTCCGCTGTATGTTAGGAAGACATGTAAAGGTCTCACTAAATTACTTAATTTAAATTGTTTGAAAGTGAAAATATAAAGCTGTCTGTGTCTGTGCTGCAGGTCTTTTTTTCTTGTAGTGCACACAGCTTACTGGGCGTGTTTTTCCCACACAAATATTACATGCTAACGTAATTAGCACAAGCCTATGGTTTTTTACATTGTATAAATTAGCCTAGCGGCCAACTTTTCCTCTTCTCACATGAAGCCAGGGTCAACAGCAACATTTAACAAAGGTAACGTTACAAAATTCGACTCTATTACAGCTCACAAGGTTCACCAACAAAACAACTGTCTTATACTTAACACGTTTTCCAAAGAAATACAACATGCTAATGTTATTAGCACAAGCCTATGGCATTTTACATTGTATAAATTAGCCTAGTGACAAGCGGAGATTTCCTCTGCTCATATGAAGCCAGGACAAGATTTAAAATGCTATTTTAGTGGAGACTTTATTGTTTTCACAATTTATTGTTTCTTATCTGTGAAATAAAAGTTCAGCTGTCAGGAAGTGAGTATGACATGGTTTTGTTGATATGTTACGTACAAAAAAACTGTATCTCCCATCAGCCCATGTGCATAATAAATGACACCAATGGGACATCGAACCAAACGTTGAGCGTCTCTGCTCCTGTTCTTATTATTCTTAAACAGTTTTTGTGTTTTCTTGTTGTTGTTTTCAGTCGTGGAGGATCCTGCTGTTTGGCGCGCTCAACCTGCTATGTACCGGCTGTCTGCTGATGTGGTGCAGCTCTACCAACAGCATGGGTGAGCACACACACCAGAACACACTCATACACACACACAAACACACATATAAAACAAACACAGTGACAGATAGACACATGCAAACTGACACATAGACACACAGAAAAACACACACTTTGAGACTCGGACACAGACACTAACAGGCGGAGATACCTGTCTACACACAGTAAACACAGATTGACAGCTAGACACTTAAACACACGCACACAGAAGGCACGAGTGTGTGTGTGTGTGTGTGTGTGTGTGTGTGTGTGTGTGTGTGTGCTGCAGCTTCAAGCACGCACTGAACAAGTCTTTAGGAAGTGTGTTAGCAGTGTCGTCTCACCACAGGGGTTCAGACTGATCCTGTTACTACCGCTGCTGGTGTATGTGTGTATGTGTTGGAGGGTAGGGGGGTCACCTCAGTCAAAATATGGCACTTTAAAAGGCATGTTGAAGAAACAGAGTCCTTCACAGCATCTGTATTTACCCTCTGGTGCTACAATACAGGGAACATGTGTCATATTGACAAGAACGGTTTTTGGCTTTTGTCTCTCCTCAGATACACACAGCCACAGCAGAGCAGGAGAATAACAAATTAGAGATGGTGTATAAAGGATATTTCTAGTTTGCTAGTGTGTGTTGCTCATCATTTCTATGAATAAGAATAATCCTGTCCTCACCAAAGCCTGGCAGGTCAAACCATTGTTAGAGTTCACAGACATACTGTCTGCATCAGTTTTGATCTTCTGTACTTAATGTAGCTGTGACACAATGTTGGTCTCTCTAGACGCTCATCACGTGAATCATTCAAACGTTCGATTGTGCTTGTCAGTTTAAAGGAGCCGCAAAGCGAACTACTGGCTTGAAAGCAGCATAGTTGCTGCTTGCTGTTTTCCAGTCAAAAAACTCATAGTTGGCCTACAGAAAGTTACGTTTGGTCAGTGAAGACAGAAAAAAGAAACCAAGCAAGGAAGACTTGCATGCCTTGTGCGACATTAGCCTGCAGTTCTCTCCTCTATTACTAACATTACACACTTTAAAACTCACCAGACCAACCAACTACCTCCGCTACATGGTCCCAAGCCTCATTCTTTTTATTTTGGTCTCTGTAACCGAACAGCGACACATTGTGGGCGCCAACGCAAGTAATAAACTTCTTGATATCCATTGTCGGTGCAAGTGTGCTGTAGGAACCATAGTTACATGGCTTGTTCTCTGGGACCCGCTTCATCGAAGCATGTCAGCATTCTGATTGGTTGTCGCTGAACTGCGTCAGAGCTCATTACCATAAAGTAAAACGAGCTTTAACTCCCCTCCGGACCCACTCTGGTTGCTTTTGTCGCCCAAGACGCGTGGCTGACGACCAGGTCGCCCAAGTCGCCAGGCTGTCATTGAAAATGAATTACTTCCGCCGTTTTGGAAGCTCTGGTCACTGTTGGTTTGAACGTACAGTAAGGATTCTCAAGAATCTGTTCTGTGATCCTGTCTTTTGATGCTGTTGCAGAAAATTCAGTTCTGCTCTGGAAACATTAAGTTACTAAGGGTTTGGGGCTTTGAAAGTTTTGAATATATGCATGCAATATTGTTTGTCAGTAGCTCCCATAACAGTGAAATATCAGTGTTGGTCTCAACTTGTGTTTGGGTTGTCTGGCGGGCTGTGTGAGCAGAACAGCAGCACTTAAAACCATTTCTCTGCCTCAGCTGAGCTGTCCACTGGCTGCACTCTGGACGATGTGACAAGCTTATATTTAGGACGCGAAGACACACACACACTCAGACGCACACATCCAAATTTAACCTTACATACAGTGAGCAGTGATTGCAGATATTCATGACTGTAGGAGATCTGTGCAGATTTAAAGGATGGAGAGGAAGTAAGCTCAGTGGAGGAGTGGAAATTATTTAAATCCATTAATGTTGTCGGCCTCATCAGATACAAGGTGCATTTTAGAGTCAGTAGTTAATGGTGGGTCAGGTGTTGTTTGGCATGTGTGTGGAGGCCAGGGGTTAAAGGGCAAACAGAAGTCAGTTAAGCATGTTTTTGTGTTTGTTTGTGTACATCATCACTAAATTTGACTGTAAACGTGCACATATTTCAGTGCTACCTGTCTCAACGCCTGTTTGTGGAGGTGGTGAAAGTCAGCATACAGCTGAGCAGTGAGACAGCTGTGCAGTGAGACGCTGTGTTTATGGTCAGCGAGGCTCGTGTCAGCCACCAACATTAAATCCTCTCAGGGATTCCATCACTCAGGAAAATGCTGCCACGAAAAGATCAACATGCAACCTTATCCGCGCTCACCCGCTCTGCCTGCAAATACTGCAGCATAAGCCACACACACACACACACACACACACACACACACAGCAGTGGCGTCAGGTGTCGTACAGGCAGGAAGCGGAGGACAGAGGTATCGAACAAACGGGGGGGGGAAGGCGACACCACCGTCGATACTCGGCCCCCGATGAGAACAACAGGAGCAGACAGCGGCCTGGTCTCAATACTGTTGGTTTCCTCCTCGTGTATAAAGTCTCCACTCACATGATGAGCACACTAGCATTCACACATTCATCATTCACCCGTCTGCTACTTTGAGTATTTTTGGTGTCTTTTCATTCACGTCATTGATCTGACAGCTGGAGTTACTGTACAGCTTCAGATTTTGTGATGCTGAGTTAAAACTTTTTGCAGTATAGGAGAAACCCAAGTGTTACATGAACACATAAATAAGTAAACACACTGAAAGGAGCTGCTCTTTTTGAGTGTTTACCTTTGATTTACAGGTGCACTTAACTGGTAATATTTGTTTGTTACACAATTTTATTATAGTGCCTGATGGTGCCCTCATATCCCCTTATTTCCTCCCAGATCATTGTTGATGTTTGATGTGAACCTAGTGAGGCATTGTTGTGCACTTGACACTGAAACAGTTCCACATTTTGATGCTAAGCTTCCAGCTTCTTCTACCAATGATTGTTGATTTTGTCTGTTCTTATTGGACATGCTCAGAAGTAGAAAGATCTCTTTATATTTTGGTACTTTTGGTGTATTTTGTGTGAACATAAATCAGGATTTTTCAAGTATTTCTATCAGTGTTGGGCTTTAGATTTAGATGAAAAAAAAATATTTTTTGATATATTTGGACCCCAATTCCCAGTTGTGGTTCACTAATGGTCGAGGGGCACTTTCAAACAAATTCATAATCCAAGTTCTAACATTAATCTCCCCTCGCATGCAACAGTAACTACGTTTAGATGCACAAAATATTCTGGTTTTTGCCCTGATTCCTGTAAAAGACGATATTGCTACTAAACAGGAACACAGGAAACAAGGGAAGGCAATACAGGCACTCCAAGGAAGTTTTAAAAAGCTTTTATTGTAGTGGCTAAATCATTTAAAGAGCCAAACATGTTTTGACTACTGCAGGTCTTTGTCAGGGCTTTAAAAAAAAAAAACATGCAACAAAGGTGTGGCCCGACCTATGTAGTGGCAGAAACCAAAAGGAGGCCATCACATGACCCAGATAATGACATGACAGGTGAAACAAATAGACAATAATGAAAATGAGATGAGATAACCCTAATCCCATATACACACACATCTTTACACATAGGCTGTGATAAAAATGGTGAAGCCTGTAGAGAACAGAGATGAATCACATAAAACATGTGAAGTCTATATCCTTATTAAGACCAGGATACTTTAAAGCATCCAGCTGATGGGTCCAAAAGTTTCTGAAATATGGATAGGAAGAACGTCTGGACCCTGTTGTGTCATTTTGCTTCTTTGCGTCAAAGTAGGATTTCTTAAGTGGAGGTTTTCCACTCATGGTGTACTTGTTTGACTGTATAAACACAGCCTCCCCCTTTCAATCCTTCAGCCACCTTCTTGAAAAGGTCAGGGTTAGATACACAAAAACCTGATGATATCCAAGTCTTTCATATTGTGCAAAAGTGGGTGTGTTTCTCTTTTTAACCAGAAATTTGGGCTTCGCTTTTAGGCATGCATCTTTGCCTCACAGTCTTGCAAACTGTTGGTGAGATGGTTTGTGTACAACACACTGAGTTGACCATAAACAGGCAAGAGGCCATGTGTTGCAAATTCCCTTCAAGTCCAATTGAGTTGCATGTTCTGAATGTGCTGTATACATGTCAAAAGAATGCTCCAAAAACCCGAATAATACCGGCATGTCTTGCTACATTCAGAAAATCGCCTTATTCAGAATATCCAGACAAAATATGCTGCTTACATGACCCGTGTCAAATTCAGAATATCGTCATGTTGTGGAATAATAGAGGAATATCGGCGTGCATGTAAACATAGTCACTGTGGGGACATTAACTAAATGGAAATTCAAATCATTTCATTTCTGAATTATGCAGCTTTTATCTCCATTAAATTGGAAGCAGTGATGGAAAGTTTATGTTTATTTATTTTATTTACATTGAATTTCCCCTCAGGGAGATAAGTAAAGTAAATAAACTTAACTTAAAGGAAAGAAATAAAGCGTAAATATAACGGCTGATTCCAAACTTTTCAACGTGCTGCATGTCTACAGGCTGAAGGACCTGTCTGCTCTGCTGGCGTATAAACAAACAGAACAGAGATTCACTCTCATTATTCTCATTCACTCTGAGCCGTCAGTCCCACACAGTGACAGTCTGAACACAGTCTGTGTCTTTCCACTGAGCTTATGTGTTTTAATGTGCCTCTGTGTACTGTATGTATGTGTTGGACAGTATGTACGTCCAACGCCTCAAGTGCATTTCTGCCTTTACTTCAAATGAAGCATAACCTACATAGAAGTCGCCCCCCCCCCCCCACACACACACACACACACACACACACGTCCCTGTTGACCCCCCTTTGCAAGTCTGATACCATGTTCCAGAGCCTCATATGTACATACTGTACATGCTTGCACTCTGCTGCAGGAACACATGCATGGAAACACACACACACAGCTCTGGCCCCATTAGCTCATGACTAACGGCTTAACAGACGTCTAAATACACACTAT